GACCTATAAAAACGTTGTTATAAAAACTATTGTCTGTTCAATCAGGGCGAACACATAATTCTTTTACAGAATAGCTAATTTGGTTAAACAAAAATAGAATAAAAAGCTGTCGTAATTATTGTGAAATTGTTTAATAAATTGATTGACTTATTTTCTTTTAAATAGCAAATAACCGAATACTAATGGAATTTATTGAAGAAATCATAACTTTGGTCCTATTTGAATTATTTTATCCAACGGTTTGATCGAATCCGTTCAACTGTTTCAATCCCTACTCCTCCCACTGTTTATAAAACTGTCATAGAAACCATATGATTTAAAAATAGTTGTATTAATAACTAGCTTATTTCGAAATATAATGAGAATGTTATAAAGGCACTATAAAATTCTTAACTTGGCCTGAATGAAGTTTTTCATTTTCCAAATACAAAACAATTCTGTGGACGCAGATAACTTTTTAGCTGGTTTTAGCAGCACTTGCTTCAGAGTTTAACTAAATTGTGGTGTACTATTTTTCCAAGCCTAATACAAACATATCGAGGCTCACGAACTTTAGCAATACTTTGTTATGAAAAGAATTTAAAAGACAAACACCGTAGGCTGTTCGGTGGTTAGCATTTGGCAGTCGATGTTCAGGTGCAGCTTCCCAATTGGGTATCTGAGGATTGGTTTTGTTTGGCCAAAAGATAATGTCACAGAGCGTTTTGTGGTTGGCGTAAGACCGTTAGCTTTAAATGCCAGTTTGGCTTCGCTTTGACAAGCTGACCTTACTTAATGCATGCCACCTCCCCTTTCCCTGCCCGCTGCATTACTGTGCCACAATCTCCAAGGTTCAACAATTTTCAACGTGTTTTTGTTTTTGCTGTTGTTTTTGTGTTTTTTTTTCGGCAAATCGCATGCATAATTAAATTCAAATTGACGGCAGTTGGTTGGTTCTCGTTTTATTTTGTTTCTTTCTCTGTGATTGTCAGTAATTTGATTTCAAGTTTTTCTTTACATTTAATTCGACGGTGCTAGACTGTCTATGTCTGTGCCTCTGACTTGGCAGGCAACGATTTCCAACTGTGAGTTTGTTAAGCGGACAACTTTGGGAAACTTGAGCTTTGGTTTCAAATGTTTCGCTCATTTCTGTCTTCAGTTTTTTGTTTTCCGTTTTCTGCTCGCTGCCTGCTGCTGTCAAAGTGTCACCAAAGTTTGCAGAATGTGATCCAAATAGAATTTAAACAGTTTCACGAGTGGACAGTCTCCATGTTAATTCGATTTAATAAAGTTTCGAAACGCATAGCCAGGCTACGAACTTGAACCCCAAGTCAAGGCGGAAAAAGGCGCGAATTGGCGCAGCTGGAACAAACACGTTTACTAATTATAAGCGACAAATGGCTGCCAGGGTGGCGCACATAAGTCCCGCATTGTATATACATATGTAGTTGAAAAAACACCTTGAAAATGTAATGTAAGTATAAAACAACTGGCTGCGAAAATCGCATAAAAACCGGTTAAATTAATCGAGCTATAACATATAAAATCATTTAAAGATGCGCATTGCGAGGCTGTCACGAAGTCGTGCCCAACAAAAGGCAACTGTTGGGAAAAGTGCAGCTAATTACACAATGCATCGACTAAACTAAACTTGGCTAAGATATGGTAACATTTGCTAGACTTTAATGGACCATAACCAGATCAGTACGCACGTGGGAAAGACTTTCATTTTAATGCGACTTTCATTTTCAAATCGCCTTACAAATATTTGTTGGCTAATTAAAAATGTAAATACAAACAAATGAGTTGACAAACAGACGCTGTCAACACGGGAGCATTACAATTTATTTACCCAGCCACTTGTTTATCACTTTTTCGCAACTGGTTTGTCTAACATGAATATAATAAGCCAGACTGCTGAATAACACACTATATCTCCTATAAGTATATTCATAATGTATATTGATCGAATCAAAGGGTGTGTAAATCATCAAACCAACAAGCTAAAGCATTAGAAGCACGCTTAATTTTTTTAAAGTCGGTCTTGAAGTTCAACAAACTGGTATTGGCAGCGTTAGAAACTCAATAAACCTCAACAATTTATGATTTAATTGAATTCAATGATCCGTCGGCCAGCCTGTATTTATAAATGAATTTAAATATTAAACAAAAAGACTGTAAATGCTCAATAAAGAGAACAAATAAAAAAGCATATTTCGATTGATAAGTTCTGAAACGTTTCCAATTGAACAAATTTAATAATTATGGAGAGAATAAGAAAATTATTGCAACATTTAATTCATTTCAAAAATTGCTTAATATACAGCTGCAATAGAGAATCAATTTTGGTTTTATTCAGTTTGTCATCATTTTTAATGATTTCATTTATGTTCAAAGCTGAATTTTTTTAATTATTCTTTTCCAATATTTAAAAGGTTTCAAATTCCTAATTTAAACACAATATTTGAACTGAAATTGATGCCTCAGTGATTACAATTTATTGAAAATTGGTCGGCTAGTGTGAGAAGTAAAGGTAACTAAATAAATACATCATTCTCTATTAAATAGAATGTTGACAAAATTTTACAGCAAATTATTGGCTAGGATAATAAACTTTAAAAACACGCATTTTTATTTAAGAATATATTTAATTGATTTACAATTTATTTTTAGCTGTTTCTCTACTCGTAGTAAAGAGCATTCTTTAAGTGTATTTCAATGTCTGCTTCGCTTGGCCGAAAAATGACTTAATCGAATGTGTTCTGGTAATAAGCAAAGGGTATTATAATTATAAAGCATTTGGATTTAAAGAGACGCTAATTGATGAAGCTGTCAAGCTTAGCAGCCGTTTATTAAGATAGTTAATAATATTTTAGCAACCGGCTTTCAGCCAGCATTAAGGCCAAGAAATGCCAATTGGAATCGCTGTTTGACAGTTATTCACAAACGTTTTTATGAAAAGACAACCCCGACTTAAATTGCAGTGGTTGGCAACGCGACGCTGCAACTCCTGTCGCTTCCAGTCCTTCCAGGAGAACTTAAGGGTTGTTTCCACAGAACACGCTTGAAAACGCTCTCAAAGAGCCTCTCAGAGTGTAACTAGAAAGCACCGACAAAAAACAAACAGAAGCAAAACAAACCCGACAAAATTGTCTACGTGACTGGGAGCTTCCTTCCCTACATACATTTTATACAAATATATATAGTATGTACATACATATATATACATATGTACATACAAACACATATGCACTATGCCGCTCAGCATCCACAATTTTTTTGATTTGATTTTATTTTCTTTTTAGTTTTTGCTTATCGCCAAATGTACGCCAACGGGCCTCAAAGCATATGACGGCAAACGCGTGTAGCGGTCAGCGGCAACAACGGCGGCTACAACAACAAAAGCGGCTACAAACTGTAACTACAGCGGACCGTGGGGCGAGATACAATATTTTCGGTATGGGAGAAAGGTCAAAAATTAATTATACTTAAAAAAAAATACTTTTTTTTTAAATTACATTACAAGTATAACTTTAGAAAAGTTATATTTGAAATGAAAAGTGTGTCAATTTTAAAAAGCCTTCAGAATTAGTTCATAAAATGATAAGATTATATTAGAGACCATGGACTAGACCGATACATACTACTTGTAAAACTATTAGAGCACGAGCAAACAAATCTATGTTTAAGCCATAATTATGACTTAGTTTATTTTTATGTTATAGAGTTTCAAAGAGACAAAAATGTTCATGAAATACTAATACAACCAAGCCATAATTACAAGTGCATATAAAGCTAGGTGTACGCTTATATTATCGCTTTAAACTTTTTGAAATAACATTTCTAGAAAATATTAGAAAAAATTTGAAATATACAAAAAGTCCACAGACAATTACAAATAAGTTATTAACGGCAGCTATTCCCTTTATTAATTTTTGAATTTTAACAATTTAAAAAAAAAAAAACAGTATGTGAAATTATAGTATTTTGAATTCCGCTTTTTACTGTATTATTGCAACATACTAAAAGCAAAACTAAATTGCTGACATTTTACGTTTGCAAAAACTGAACGTTTAAGATAACCTTATAGTAAAATTTACTCACAATTCATCAATAAAATTGGATGAAAAGATGTATGTGTTCAAGAATGTTTTTGAATGTTTTAGTGAGTTTTGGAAACAAAGCAAGTACCATTTATGGACTTTGCATTGAAAATGCAAAATAAACCATTTGTCTAATTTCAGATACTACTGATTTATGGTAAATATATGAACAATGTAGTTACAGTATTATTGTAAAATTTAACAGATTTGATTTAAAAATGTATACTCGTTCAAAGAATGTGTTGCTTTTAATTTATACAACAGAAGAAATATTATAACGAAATTCAAAAAATTGTGTTTTAATTTGGAAAATAAATCTGGCATTTCAGACCAAAAGTACATACAGATATAAGATTTAAAATAAAGGTAATATACAAATTAAGAAACCCGTTTAATAAATTTTTTCGCTTCTTAATTTTATTTGTTTTGTTTTTAATAAACACTGATGCTGGCCTCATTTAATGTTTCTACATGACTACCTTCTTTTATTTTCTGGAATGATCTAAAAGCAACAAACATTTTAAAAGAATAAGTTTTCAGTTCAATATTTCGTCCTTCCGCCCCACTGTGCAGCGCAATGAATTTTATTGACTGTGCACACATGTATGCCGCACAACAATTGCATGGGACATATTTGTTATACACATATATAGACGTTTTGAATGAACAGTTCTATATATATTTTGTAGGAAATAGCTTTAAGACTATGAAGGAGGCCTCTGGAAATTTCTTTGTAATCAGAAAACTTTGAATGAATGTTTGTTGACCCATATATTAGGGCTGCTTTGATAAAGCCAAGAAACTCAATAGGGGCTTATCAATTAAAGGCGGAAGCTGAGGCAGATGAGCATAGCAAGAAACACGTCAGCCAAAAAAAAAAAAAAATAATAACATTACCAAGAGAAAATGTATGCTTACCTTTGGCTTTGTGAGAGATTAGGCTGAGATTCCTTTGAAATGTTGGCCTGTCGATTGTTCTTAGATAAACAAATGCAGGCAGTTCTGGATATTGTTGTTACTGCAACTGCGTATTTTGTTTACAGTTTATGATTTCTTTCACTCGCACCCACGCACTCTTACACTCGCTCTTTCACTCACTCTTCCAAACACGGACAATGCGAAGGCACGTCGCTGGCGTTTTTCCAGCTCATTTGTTGTCAGGGCAGCCCAGGCACACCCGCACTCTTTAATTTATTTACCGTTGGCAACTCTAGTGTAGGATGCAACGCTTGTGTAGGGAATCGAGAACAATAACACCCGAGAAAAAATTGCAAACGTTACAGTTATTTAGTCTGTGATTTGTTGTTCTTTCTTCTTTTTGTTTTTGCGCAAGGCATAGGCGGCGTCGGAAAGCGGTTGCCCTGCTGATTGGGATTTGTGTTCACTGCGTCCGCGCGCTGAGCACCACAAAATGGAACTGATGTTGTTGCCACTTCTGACTCGCGTAGATAAAGATACATTTCACAGCAAACGCAAGAGAACTTGAATTTCTTTTGATTTTTGATTCGTGAGCGCAAAGGCAAGAGCGAGCGCGAGAGAACCTGTAAATTGAGTTCCACAAGCATGCTACCCGTCGAGAGCGAGACCCGGTGCTGGCTCTGGTGTGGATGGTATTCGAACAGCTGTTAAGTCAGTTTATATGACTACATCGTTAGCACCATAGATAAACATAATCCAAAAGGCTTTATGCTTTAATCACTCATGGCCGATAAATAGACAGCTGTTTTTGGAAAACATCTGCTGGCGCAATATTCAAAGTGCAACAATGCATATTCGAGATACATACATATGTATACTATACATATGTATGTTGAGTTTAACTAAATTAAAATAAAAATATATAATAAAATGGTTAAACATAATTATAGAAAATCTGTACACCACGGCACAGTTGGAAACTAAACTATATTTTAAGCTAATACAAATTCGCTGAGCACCTCACGGCTCAGGAATTTAAATGGTTGCCTTTTATAACAGCTAAATAGTTTCTTACACTTACACTTGATCAAATTGCCTTTGTATACAACAATTTTTAATTTTTTCTTGCTTTTAAATTAAATAATGTAATATCCTGTGTAAAATAAATTCTTTTTTCAGCTAACAATTTAACAACTAACACTTAGCTTTCATAACCAACACAGTATTTGAGTCGTTTATACACAGCGCGACAATCGATTATCACATTCTATGAGTTTAAGTTTTTAGCCAATAAATGTTTATTAAATTATTAATGAGAAAAAGGAATAGTTTGTGTATTAACTTTATTGTTAATATTTTCACAGCAATTACAACCAACTTATTACCAACAATTCACTTTTATTTATATTGAAAATTGGCACAGAAGACCCCCAAAATACATATATTTGATATTTGAAGAATTCCCATGCTTTATTCATTTTTACTCAGTTTAATTGAAAATCAGACATATATGACACATATTCAGGTTTCTGAGTTTTGCGACTGAAAGGGTAGAGAGTATGTCTCCAACTGTTTCTATAATTTGAAATGCGAGTACTAACAATCCAGATATTTTCCACATTCATAATTTTACAGTAACTTATGCCTCGTAAATCAAGCAAGCTTTTCCATGCAACGAAGTGGTATTAGAAAAAAATAAGTGCGATCAACCATCGGAATAATCGAAAACTACTATCCAAGTAAGACTTAAACAAGAAGAATTTGAACTAAAAACATGTATGTATTATAAATGGGCGGGGCCCCTGGAAAATAAATAGGAAACCACGATTAGCGGCCGATATGCGACATAAGTCTGCATCATAAGTCTAACAACAAAATATATATATATATTTAGTGGAAATCAGAAATCAGCCAAGTCTTCGCAAGCGTAAGGTCTCTTGCGATCCAATTAATGTTTAAAATAAAATCATTCAAATCATTTAGAATCACTTAAACATTGTTACTAACAAAATTTGGCATCTCTTTTATTTGTAGTTGCAAAAATAAAGCTTTTCCTTTTCAGTTATTTATGGTAAATAAATATATGGATTGATATGCAAGTAAATCGGTAGTCCAGAAAAAAAGGGATGTATAGGAATTAGCAGCTTCTAGTCCTCCGAGACGGTGAACGATTGCGTCAGACCCTCATAGGGATACTTGCCACCCAAAATGTATTTGTATTCACCGGAATGTCGTATGCGATATACGCCCGGCAAGGTCTGCGGACTAATGGTCCAGTATATCTCCAGCTCGCTGAAGCCCAGAATTGTGTTGGTGCGATGCCAGACCATTCTGTAAATAAAAAAAAGATTGGTCAGATAAATAATGGAAGCGTTGCCTCACTTTACTCACTTGGTTTCCCAGCTGGCATCCGTGTAAGTGACCTTCCAGCGATCCTCATTGATCTTTCGCTCAATGGCGAAATAGGTTTTCTCTGTGAAAAGATTGTTGCGGGGATTTCCCGAAATAAATGTGGCTTTCACCGTATCATTGATGCCGTATTCCTTTTTGGGCTGAATCTTCACATAACCGAAATCTGTGCCTATCGGATGTCCATCGAAGAGTACGCCCGTATTCAGCGACAACATCACATCGTTCATATAGGGCGGACTCGGACCCGCATCTACCGTATCATTCCGCATCATGGCTTTGGTGAGCCGCTCAAACACATCCATATAGATGGTATGTGTGTGTGGCCCGAAAATCGTAGAAGCGGCCTCATAACGCTGTGCCTGGTACTCTTCCGGCGTCACCGTGTAGCTCGAGTATATGTTCGTCAGACCGGCAATAATGACCTCCGTATCTATACCGCCAGCCGCTGAAGCTGCCGCACGTATTTGATTCCGTAGCCGACGTCCAGCCATAGTCGTAAACTCACAGGGCACGGCAGCAATGAGGACATCGCCAATCTTCAATAGCTGTGTGGATACTATCTTGGGCTGCCACTCGTAGGGAAAGGTGGCCTGCAAACAGAGAAATGTTGAATTAGCTAAAAAGTGGACTATCAAACAACAGATACAAAAAATGAATAGTTGTCCAGCTTTATTATTTTTTAAGATTTAATTATAAACACATTTCTTTAGTGGATGACAAGAATATGTAACCCTGTAGTAACCCATCCATTGCTCTAGATAACTCCGAAAAAGCCACTTTTTGAATGATAAGATAAATATCAGAATTAAAGCGAGGTTTCATTCAAAAAAAACAAAAAATACACAAACTTATAGTTTATTAGGCTTAGGACAAGATGTGTACTGATTTTGATATCTGTAGCTCTAACAATTTCTGAGATTAAAGCGTTCATACAGACGGACAGAAAAACAGTCAAAGATACCAATGACTTCTATTTTTCTCTTTTATACTAGCATAAATCTTAAATCACTTCGAAGTACTCTGGTTGGCTTAGGACAAGCTGTGAACCAATTTTGAATTCTCTAGGTCGAACATTTTTTGAGATTCTAGCGTTCATACAGACGGACAGACAAACAGTCGAAGATAACAATAACAATTTTTTTCCCCTTTTAAACCACTTTGAAGTAATCTGGTTAGCTTAGGACAAGATGTGTACGAATTTTGAAGTCTCTAGATCGAACAATTTTTGAGATTCTAGCGTTCATACAGACGGACAGACAAACAGTCGTCGATTCGATTACTCGAATAAATCTTAAATCACTTCGAAGTACTCTGGCAAGTGCTATTTAATTTTCCCACTTACCCTTCCAGTGGCCAGAAGAATAGGTTTCGGTTCATGACACTTGATATCCTCCTGAGTGGGCGGCACAATGAAGTCACGAACAAAATTCCACATGGGATTATCGGTGGTGGTGCCTTGAGCAAAGCTAAAGGCACCTGGACCATCGGTGGTTCCTGCGGCAAAGCTATAGCCCATTGTTGGCTGGCAGCCCCGTACTGGATCCAGTTTTCTCGACAACGGATTGTACGCACTGCCATTATAATTGGGCATATCAACAAACTGATGAATAAAGCGCACATCGCCTGTAACCTCGCGTGCAGTAGACTCCTGACTCTGCTCATTGAGCAAATTAAGAGCGCCCTCGGCAAGTCTTTGGCCAATCATTTGGGTGCTCTCGAACATATCACGACCCGGACCGGATGCGAAACATTCGCCTTCGCCAGGTGGACAGGTGGAGGACAATATGTCGCAATCATTGCCAGAAATCGAACACTTGGGACCCATAATATTTGGCGAAACATCGCCCAAATTCGAGGAGCAGAAGGCGCCCACAAATTTTCCCTTGCCAGGCAATTTGTTGGGATTGTACTCCTTCTCCAGGAGTAGAGCGGCATATCCAACATTATCGCTGGTCACCAGCTTATTTGTATTGTTCATGGACGTGGCATGCACGGCATACCAGTTGAAGGCACCCAACAGATTATTCTCCTTGTCCACGAAGCGCAACTGGGTCAGCGTCTTGTCCACGTCGTGCTCGTACTGTGCGCGTTCCTCTTCGGGATTACGCAGATACGAACTGGGTGAGCGATTGATGTTGGCATTCAGTACGACAGTCTTCGATAGAAAGATCTTGCCATCGACCAGATTATCTGTGGCCCGCTTGATGCTCTGTAACAAATTAAAGCATAATAATTCAATTTCATTTCCATTAAAATCTCCACTACTTACCAAATACAAGCCCTGAGCCATCACCTCAAAGGTTTGGGGCACAAAGCCCAGAATGGAAATGTCGTAGAGCAGGTGCATCAGGAAACCTCCAGGGGCGCCGTGCGTATGTGTGCCACTAATGGCCACATTATCCGTGGTATAAATGTCGCCGTAACGTGCCTGCAGACGCTTGACAACCTCACGTTTCAGACCATAGCCCATCATGCCACAATCGGCGCTGATGAATGCCACTCGATGGCCATTGTCATCCTCCACAACGAAGGCGCGTGAGAAGATGCGTGTATGGAGACCGCGACCCACCTGTTTGATGTTCGCATAGCCCATCTATCGGAGAGCAAACTGTATTACTAGAGAACATTACAAAATAAATGGATTCGACTTACGAAATTGATTTCCACCGGTGGTCCGGTAATATCGGCGCGGCCTACACCCACTCTATAGCCACTGACTAGGCTGCAGATTCCATGGAATGCCAGCAGCGCTAAGAGGCTGCATTTTGTAAAGGACATGATGGGGCTTAAGTTGAATCCCTAGCAATTAGTAGAGCTAGAAGTAAAGCGTGAAGAGAGAACCACTTAAAACTTGATTATACTCGTATTTTCGTCACGTATTGAAGTAATGAACGAAATAAAACACTTTTTATAAAGAAGAGTGGAAGCGAAAGTGTATATAATTCATTATGTATTCCACAAATTATGTGAAACTAATTATACTCTGTTTCCTGAATGGCTATCCGTCTGTCTCTCCGTACGCCTGGATCTCAGAGATTATAGAGATAGAGCCCAAGATGCATAATATGAAAACGCAATGCGTATTTCAGGAAAAAAATTTATTTTTGAAATATTACAATTTTCTTACATTTTTTTTAATTTTAAACATTTCTTTAAATTTTTACCTCAAAATCGGGGCAGCCGACGTCAACTTCTCCACTTGTTTTTGCATAATCTTTGACTTACGAAAGACCCAAGACGAAAACCGTACAGTAATAACAAAAATCGAGATCGCTTTGCAACAATCTTTTATTCAAAACTTGCGATTATAATTTAGAAACTTGAAATCTCAATATTTACAATATTTACCTTGATCAGCATCTAAGTAATTTGATAAAAATCTACAATAATTTAATAATTGTATGATACAACATATTAATATATTGTATATTAATAATTTTAAAGATCTCAGTCGTCCTTTAACGGAGATCTTGTTCCCAAGATTATTAAATTGCTCTTTAGAAGACCTTGTAAAAAACGTGTCTATTGAAGAGATTAAAGGAGTTTTAATATATATATAATCTTGTTCCCAAGATTATTAAATTGCTCTTTAGAAGACCTTATAAAAAACGTGTCTATTGAAGAGATTAAAGGAGTTTTAATATATATATTTTGAAATATACTCTTAAGTGATGGGTGGATTCCCAATAGTTAAGCCTGGTTTTTAGCGAGTGCCAATCCTGCCCAATCGATATTCCTAAGGTTCCAAAGCTCCTGTATCTGGACATCAGTACAACACCTTAGTGGGTCTCTATGATCACGTTTCTTCCCCAATCTAAAAGTTTTTATCATTTCTACGTAGCTTTGTTTCCCATATATGTATCTTAATCTAGACATCTTACTTTATATATATTTATGTACATAGGTATTAAATTTTTACATAAAATACTTCCATGACTTTTCGTTTTCATTTGTAGTAGAACACTTTAAGAGAGCACTGGAGATTGCACCCATTTCAACACTGTCCTTTTATGTATATATTCATATATAGTATAATACGGCTATAAGGTTAAGAACTACATCCTGAAACCTCATCCTTTTACTGAAAAGATGACATCATTGTTTTCAAAGATTTCGCAGTTCTGGCCAACTATTTAATTTAGATCTGAACACTTAACTTATTTTGTAGAGAAGGAACCATAAGAAATGGTGCTAAAAAATTTTACAGCGCGGAAGCTGTATTTTCTGAAGAAAATTCTTAAATCATAATGAGTTCAGTTTTTAGACGAGCAGGAATATGAAGTGTGCCATTTATTGCTAGTTTAATTAATGCGGCCATCAATCACTGACAGTAAACTAGAATGGTAAACCCAATTATGAGAACTAATGATATTAATTAATTCTTCTCACGATTATCGTGCTGCATGTAAGCCTTATTTCGACATATATATATGGTACATTGACTGAATGCTAAGAAATCGGCTCTGATTTAAATACACATTTTGCGCTTTGAAAGACATGAGCTGATTCATGGGTTATTCCCTATACTTCCAATATTTTTTCCTAGCCGGTGCACTTGTTGTGCCAACCTCGTTTTGTATTATCAGCTAAATACATTGCAACTACCCATATATTTACTTGTATATGTATATTATGTATGTTTCTCACGCAGCATTATGTTTATTTGATAATTTATGGAAAATTTGCATGTTCCCACAACCTTCTGAGATACCGTTTAAATTGTCTAGCACATTGACGATCATAAGCTTGCACTTATTATGCACTAATGTTGCAAATATTGAAACTACATGTATGTACGAGTTTGTTGTTACAAAATGTCTGAACAAAGATATTCAAACGGCGAGCGACAATTTGTTTGAGTGAATCAAACAAAAGCAAATCGCCGCACTCCAAAAATGTCAAGTCATGGCAACTGTTGAAGCCGCTCTGGCCACAAACGAATATGGCCACAATGCCCCGCAATGGCCCACAACAGCCTACCAATCGACCATAAATGCAAATTTATAAGGTGTCGGTAATCGTTTCGACCTCCAGGCAATCAAATATACAAATAAGTGTCTGCATTACATCAATGCGAGAAAAATGCGTATTAAATGCAAACAATATTGACAACAATCCCAATATTGACAACAATAGCAATTACTGCACGCCCTTATCAGCCGCAGGGGCTATGGAATGGACAGCGGGGCCAATGGGGCCAATGGGGCCACCGCCATCAGGGACGTTTCTCGTTTCTTGAACCGGTTTTTATCAGCTTGCGAAAGCCACAAGCTTCTGCCTCTGCCTCTTCGTCTGCCTCTGCAGCTTTTGGACGCTTTGGACACTGACCAAGTGACCATTTCAATAGCTGCTGCAAACAGTAGCCAAATGCTGTTGGTATTTAAAAGAAAAAACCGCCGGTTACGGCTCGGTCCCCTAGCCATGTTCTTCCAACTGGATTTATTGCATATACAATCGGACTATTTTTCCAAATATTATATGGCGTGGAAACTGTGGAAAATTTTTTAAAATTCCCCTAATTATACAGCTATTAGAAGGCATCCGCTCGCCTTATAATCTTCAATTAATTTTCTGGCAAAATATAATTTACAAAAACCCAAAAGAGGGTTAGAAATGTTATTCTATAAATTACAAATAAATAAAACTGGAATTCCAATATCAGATATACATTTCTTGAGCAAATAAGAATTTGTATATTGAAAAAAATATTATAAATAAATATTCCTAGTATTAATCCCAAAATAAAAATAAATTTTTGGAGAAAAAATCGCAGTATTTGAAGAATAAGCAATTGAACCTTTTGAATAAATTAAATTCTAAATTCCAGAAATTCCTCTAGGTTTTTAGAAACTAATATAAGAATTTTCTGGCTATAGGCTATAGTCTATATATGTATAATGCAAAAAATATATATTAAAAAAGATTTCTTTAGTTGGTTTTAGTGCAATATTCTAGCCAATTGTGTTTCATATTGCCATTACAATGATTTTTTTGTTCAAGCCTTGATCTACTCAATATAAATAAAATTCAATTTTGAAGAATATCAGTCATTTGCAATCAAAGTTATTTAAACGTTGATACTTTTACTTTTTATGCCCTTCAGTGAAGATTCAAGTAGGCGTGTTTCATGTAAATAAACCAATTTCCAGTTCACATTTTATTTTTAAAATAGGTTTTTTTCCAATATTTGTAGCTAATTATTTTTCTTTTTCTAGCATTTTTTTGTATCAAAATTTTAATAAGTGATTTAATTTAACACATAAGTGTATGAACATTTTGAAGGTCATTTATAGAATATTATCACAATATTGGCAACCATTTTTAGGAAAACAATTGACACAGGACTCTCTTTGGAGAGGCAGTCCACATTTAACAAAAGTCTAGGCATGAATCAGTGTGACTAATACCTTACGAAATTTAGCATATTTAAGATGACTATCTAAAGAAAAGCATTTCTTTTTCCACAGTTTAAAATATTGCCATCAACAACATATTTCGAATTATAATTTTTCTAAATTTTATACAAATTGATTCACCTTAACTTTTAGAATGGATTCCAAAAAACTAAATTGCTATAAAACTGGGGTGGCTTGCTAGTAGCTTGGGCTAAAAGCGAACTGTAACTATAAATAATAATCTAATGCACCCTTAATCCAGCAAATAATGTAGTGCTTTATCCAATTCTTTTCATAATATTCTTATTTATTCAAAATACATATATGAAGATTTTCAAGTTGCATTAATGCCTCAGATTGCCTAACAATACTACATAGTATTGTTATATTGATGCAAATAGAAAAAGAAGAAATACAAACCCATACCAACCACCCTCCAACCATAATTCGGCGGACTCTTTGTTTTTTTATATTTTTTGGAGGGAGGAGAATTGTATTTTCTACTTTGAGAACGTGTCGCCAAAGCTCGAAGTTGAAAGGCAGGAAATCGGGTGAGTAATTCTTTGCTTAATATGTGGCTCGTGTAAGCGCGTCAGCAGAAGAGGGGGGTGGGGGGAACGGCAGAACCTAAACAATGCGCATACGCAGCGTTGGCTGCGCGCCGCGCTCTGCATAATTTACAAGCCGCACGCAGCCTGACATTGAAAACGAAAATTGAATAAATGTTAAATAAATGTCGGACAACATAAGCAGCAGCAGCAGCAACAACACCAACAACAATGCCAATAAACCAAAACATTAGCGAGTCAAAGCCGCCAACGATAACAGCTGCAGGGCCGACGCGTGTGTAGCTCAAAGATACAAATTCACGTTCATTTCGTTTTGATTTTTTTTTTTTTTGCATTTGTTGCGTATTGTTGCCGTTGGCCGGTTTTTTTTCCATCGTTTTGTTGGACTTTTTCACTTTTTTGTGTAATTTGCACATTGAAAATGGGATGAGAAAGATTTTTGCAACCCACAATGCTCATAAATGTGCTGCGCTTAGAGTTTGGTGGATGGGGAGGGGATTTTTATCACATTTTAATTTGTTGACCAATTTCCTGGCTACATGCCATCACTTATTTGTTATTATATGCCATTGTGTGCACACACTTACAAAAGATACAACCAGCCTGGGTGCTGGGTGCTGGCTGTTGTCTGCTGTCTGCCAGACTGATGTGCGCTTTCCAAGCTCCAAATGTATCTCTTGGATATTATAGTGGGACGCGGCACACTGACTGCTCAGTTTGCGTTCAATTGAGCAAATTACAGAAGATTTCGGTTTATGTGCGCTGATGAGCCTTTTAATACACTATCGTGTTGTGGTTGTTGTTGTAGTTATCTTTTCTGGGGATTTCTGTTGCTTTTTTCTTGCCTTTGGCTTTCGAGGTTACTTGAAACTCGAACACTTGAACGCATCCACTTGTTATATAACTGACTTTAACAGGCTCCCCTGCCTTTGCAAAGCCTTTTAGCCGAACTTGTTTATGGCACCGATTAGATTAGCGCAAAAAAAAATTACTATTTGCAACCACAATTAATTTGGTTTGCACGGCGCGCAAACACAATTAAACTAATTTAATTTTCAATTTTTACAACGTATTTAAGTTCCGGAGCGCTTATCACACGCACACCCATCAACTAATTAGTGCATTTACATGGCAAATGCGAGCAGAGAATTGGTTGTTCCGACAATAATTATATTTTATATTATGGTTTCTATATTATCAATTAATTACTTAATTACACGGCAAATGTTGTGATTATCGCGAATCCAAGCCACAAGTATTGCCACAGTTGTTGCAAAAGAAAAAACCAAATTACTGATAAACTATATGCACGATAATTTTTGAAATCTGTCCAAACACCAAACGTATAGTGCTAAGAAATCGAAGCCGTGCTTTTGTTTCTTATTTTTCATTCATTTCTCTTATTTATTTACTTCTTTATTTATTATTATTTTTTCAACTTGCTGCCCGCATTGATTTAAAGTTTTGGTTTATTTTTTTGGCTCCGCACTATGCTGACTGTGACTGACCAAGATTGAAGAGCGAACTGCGAACTGCGCGTTGTGGCTGCGGCGGCGGCTCTGGCTGTGGCTGTGGCTGGTGTCGTTTGGTTTCATTTCGATGGTTGTTGGTTGTTGTTGTATTTGCCTTTGTGGGCGTGCATACGTGCGCTCCAGCGCTCAGTTAGTCATTCGTCAATCGTTCATGCAGTCATTGCTGTCTCAATTGCTGTGCATTATCAGTGGCAGTAGCAGCCGCTCTCTCGATATCGCAAGTCCGAGCCTGTGGCTTTTGTTTTGAGATGCCATTGAGGGTGAGTCGCCGTCCATTGTACATATGCTTTGGCGCATGTGTGCGTTGCTTTGTTTAAGATCTCCCTCCGACTGGCATGCACGCTCTCTGTCTCAGTCTCTGCCTCTGCCCCACTCCCTCTCTTACACTCTCTCACTCGCCTTTTTCTGATTTGTTTGGCTTTGTAACTTTTATCTGCTGTTGTTGTTGTTGTTGTTGTTGTTGACTAGTTCAGCAGACGTTAGTGCTTGATTTGTCATATTTTGCAGCTGTGTTTACCATTTCTAAACACTTTTTTTTGCACTTATGAACTATCTATACTGTTATTGCTGTTATCTTCAAAATCACAAAAATATTTGCCAAAGATTAATGTTGTTTAAAACCCAACTCTCCGAAGATGAAAAGCTGAAGACTGAAAACATGACCAGCGAACACTTATAAGGAAAATGTACTTAAAGTTTACTATAAATAATATATAAGAAAAAATTTAAGAGCGGCGCAACAAAAATATTTATTTAATCTATTTTGTCCAACTTTGTTGTTTAACAAATTTATTAATTTCTTCCAGGGTATTATTGAATTAGAAAAACGTTATAGCATAAATATAACCGTGATTACAAATGTTATCATATAGATTGCTCCATTTGACTTAAAATTTAAATCTTTTTACAACAGGTCAATCTTAATGCTCAAAAGGTGAATTTTAACGACGTTTATAAAATGTTGTTTAGCTTTTTAGTGAGAATATTTATTATAATGCTAAGACAAGTGAAAACATTTTAATGACCTTTTTTCTACACATTCACGTAAACTGGGCACTGACCCTGCACTTATAGCACATACTTGTACATATGTAGCTGAAATACAATTTTAAATTTGGAAACATCTCATTTCACAGAAACATTTAGAAATTTCTTTTGATATGAACACAAAATTCGTTTAAAATTCATCAACTGCACATATTATAGTCTATAAAAATTTCATTCAACTTTGCACAACACACTTATGTATGTACATTGGCAGATAAGTTACTTACCATTCAGAAACAAATAAACAGCGTGCAAGAACTTAGTACTGAGGCGCTTCTAATCGCGCACACGACTTTAAACTATATGCGAGCGTAAGAACCTACTGATGTTCGACCCCAAGTGGGGTCTTTAAAAATATCAATATTGAGATAACTTTTTAAAGTGGCTATAAACCATAAGCACTACTGTTTTTAGCGCCGATTAGCCAATCCATATCTGAAGCGATAAGGATTTAAGTAAATGGGCTGCACTTAACAAGTAAAAACCGTAAAAAAAAACTTTTTAGTACCAAGAAAAGCGAATAAAGTAAAATGAATTTATTAATTATGAAATTATTGTTCTGTAAATTAATTAAAAGCCTTTTTAAAACTTACGGCGCGAATAACTGACACCAACACTTATCGGTGGCTGTGCTGCGAACGAGTTGGCAGGGCCCACAGCTGTGAGTGGTGCTGCCAACTGGCAAAACAGCTGTAAAGTTTTCCACAAACGCCACCTGCAATTATGAGTAATGCTCGCAATTGTTACAAAATTGTTTCAACAGCAGAACAACTAAAGTGCAAGTGGCAGAACAAACAAAGCAAGCAACAGATGCTAAGGAGAAAAAGTAAACAATAAAAGGGAACCCAGGAGTACAGATCTAAGTAACGGCAAAACGCAAAGCAAGCGAAGAAGAGGCAGAGGCTGCAGTGAAAATGTCCAAGGCTGTCAACAATATGGGCATGAGCATTGTAGAGCCTCAGGAGCGCATTAAGCACCTGTCGCACTACGGCAACCTCATCGAGGTGGACAGGAACATGCCAGTGACGCGGTAAGTTCTAAGCAGGAGCTCCAACGGGCATTTGTCAATGTCATTCAAATGCACACAAACACCCACACACAACCCGAGCGCACATGTACTCGCATGTAGCTGGCCAAAGGACCTTGGGCGCACATTTGCCTTTGAAGGATATTCTCCAGGCATTTGTATGTGCTTGTATGTATGTGTGTGTGAATGTCCTTTGGCAGCTGTGTGCCAAAAATAGAGAACTATAGCAATTGAAGCTTTTAGACGACCTTGCCAATTAATGCCGGAAAAAATAACAACAATCCATGCGCTTTGCTACTTGCAGCTACTATCGTTCCGGCACCGAAATGCTACGTATGGCAAATGTGTACCTAAACGAAGGCAACCATGAAAACGCCTTCATACTGTACTTGCGTTACATGACCCTGTTTATTGAGAAAATACGCCAGCATCCTGACTATCCGAGCATCAAGTCTGAGGTGAAGGCCATCAATAAGCGCATCAAGGATGAGATTATGCCCACCACGGAGAAGCTGCGCGCCAAGCTGCTGTCCCACTATCAGCGCGAGTATGAGCAATTCCTGGCCAACAAGGAGGCGGAACGTGCTCGCGAGCTAGAGCGGGAACGTCAGCGACAAAAGGAGCTTGCCAACAGAGAGGCAGCAGGCTCGACTGTGCCCTCGCTCATACCCGCCAATCTGCATGTTCAAATTGATGTTAATAATCAACCTACTGCGCCGGATCTGACTCTGCTTGATCAGGTTGTGTATCCTAATGACTTTCCCACGGGCGCCAATCGCACGAATTTGCCCAATTCGGGCCTCCTGCTGCCGACGGGGGACACTAATGTAGACAAGACGGCTAAGTGAGTGGACACCAAACCATGATTCGTATTCTTTTATAATTATGAATGTATTTCCTTAACTTTTTGCAGTGCACATGCGACGAAGCCCATTTTCGATCGTAGTCAAAAACCGCAATATAATCGGTCGGACTCTCTGCTCGCTGGCTCCTTGAGAACGGTCAACGTACCTGGCGACACCATGGATGTATTTTTGAAGCTGGCCCAGGCCAACACCTCCAAAAATATTGAAACATGCGGCGTGCTGGCCGGCCATCTGGCACATAACCAGCTCTACATCACGCATATCATCACGCCCCAACAACAAGGCACTCCAGATAGTTGTAATACCATGCATGAAGAACAGATATTTGATGTGCAAGATCAAATGCAACTTATTACCCTGGGCTGGATACATGTGGGCACAAATTACTGAATATTTATTTTTGTACCTTCACTAATTTCCCAATTACATTTCAGACCCATCCAAGCCAGACTGCATTCCTAAGCTCCGTGGACTTGCACACACATATGTCATACCAAATGATGATGCCTGAGGCTATTGCCATTGTTTGTGCGCCAAAGTACAATGCGTGAGTCACTGAGAACTTTCGCAAGATTCCAGCAATTACTCAAGTTTCTTTTATATATATATGTACGCAACAGCACTGGATTTTTTATACTCACACCACATTATGGGCTAGACTATATAGCGCAATGTCGACAGACGGGCTTTCATCCACATCCCAATGATCCGCCGTTGTTCATGGAGGCGCAACACATCAAAATGGACAACAATTCCAAGGTTAAAGTCATCGATCTACGCAGATAGTATGCTGAATGCTTAGTCTAAGAGCAGCCAAACTTAAGAGCTACCATAAACACGCCTGGAGTGGTCGAAGATGCAGCGAATTTACAAAATGCAAAGAAGAAACTCATAGAAAACTCACAGAAACAAGAAAAACAGCAAGAGCTTAAACGCTTTCTACACAAAAGTTGTTGCAACTCTGCAACTTATTAGTTCTGACAAGTCTAAATTGTTCAAAATTTTAAGTATACTGAAGATAAATAGCTATGGAAGATATACACAATTGGATTGCAAAAAGTGCTTTATATACATATATAAAGACGAAAGGACAGATAACAGAGATTATGATATTAAAAGGCATGTTAACACACTTAGGCAGAATATAAGCGTAGTGAATACGAGAGTCGATATTTTCGAAAAATGTATTTTTGCAAGCACAAGAAAGATGTTAGAATGTGGCTAGAGAAGGCAGCAGTAAAGCTTTTAATTCCCCTTCGTCCTCACAAAAACACCACACCAACACCAACCAACTTTGCTTTGAACCTAAAATTCACTTAGAAACTTTATGTGATTTACAATTGTGGCTTAAAATTTTAATTTGTTGTTATTACTGCTTATACGCATTACTTAGGCAATTATTGTATTTCTGAACTGTACTGCATATGCATTCTCGCATTTTCAAACTATGTATACACATATACACACACTCACACACCAACACTCAGCTAAAACAAAACTATTTATTGATAATATGTATTCATATTAAATACTATTATGTGCTACTTACTACTATTTAAAAAGCAAAAATGGAAGAAAACCTGTTGTTTATAACATAAACGTAATTGAAAATGCAAAACTAAATTGATAATGAAAAATGTATGCTTACAAAATTAAATATATTATTTATTTTGAACGGTTGTTGTTTGCTTAGCTATTAGGCCTGCTATTTTGGCATTGTGAGAAAGCTATTTTAAATAATAAGTTGGGTAATCTTTACGAAAAAGTGACTTTTGTGTTTGTCAAATACAAATGTGAAATATGCTTAGTTAATACTTTTAATTGCCATTGGTGGTACAAATGCGTTGGAAACTCTCCAAAAGGACGAAAAATGTCCAGGATGTCCAAGAGATGGGCAACGGAAAACTCCGCCTAAGAAGTCCAGCTTACCAACGATCCACAAGAAAGGAGATTGGCTTTAGTGCACAGACTAAATAGATTGACGCTAAACTAGCCCAGCCCTATCAATTATTTTAAAAATTGTTTAGCACTTTTATTATTTTAAATACAATTTCGAAAATAGGAAATTATCTGATTTTTTATGTTGAATAAATAAATCTTCTTATTGCATTTAAATTTGCATATTGCACGCCATTTTTTGCTGCTGGCAATACCACTATTCATCAGTCCTTGGGTGCCAGTTAACAGCTCAGCTGTTTTACAGCACGCTGCTAAATATGCTACGTATTAGTAACATTTCCCCAATCGTGTAACATTTCCTTGCCCACGCGCTCTGTTACCGCTGCTGTTTTTTCTTTTTCTTCTTTCTCTTCAGTTTTACGAGCTTTGTCGTCTTGTGCGGTACCAGCGCAAATTACCAAAGCGGTCACATAAAATTCGCACGCGTAAAACAGAGCTGATCAAGAGCCATAGCCAAACATTGCATAGTACAACTAAAATTAAGTAATATTTTGGTGGTCGAAAATCGATAACTCAGCCCAAGCCTTCAAACCACCGCACCATACCGCAGACGGACGCTAACTTAAATAAAGGGGCGCTTCTGCTGCTCCTGCTGTTGCTGCCGCGGGGCGTCTGCCCTTGATTAAAATTTCAAAGCGAAAGTGCAACATAGCGCCAAAAAAAGAGGAGGAGAATAAACACATAGAGTGCGAGAAAACAATTCTGGTATTTCTTGTTGTAACGGCTGTTGTGCTCGGTTTGTTTACCACTCGCGTGCCGTCGCCTTCGCCGTCACAGCTGTCCACCCGATCCACTGCACGCACTGATTATAATGCCAAAGTCCATTCAGTGTCCGGTTAATTGGATACCAGTGCACAGCGTTCAATGTCAAGAAGTAAGTAAATCCTCGCTCTCTCGCACTGGCTCCCTCTAATCAGTTAATTGTCTTTGGGTGATTGTTATTTTTGTGTTTGTATTCGCATCGGTGCTTATGTTTCAAAATGTGATTTTATGTGCGACGGCAGCTCCTCTTATTATTTGCTCACCCACCCACATTGTGCTTTTGTTGTTGTTGCTCTTGTTTGCATTTAACCCGCCTGATTACACTTACACTTAACGGTGCTTGTGCGACGCTCACGACGAACACAATGAAAGTTAGCTGAAAACATAAAGCGGATTAGACGCTTTGTGTGCTGTCACAACAATAATAGCAACAACAACAACAAAGGCATGCGACTATTTGGCTTGTCTAAAAATATATGTATTTACAAAGCCAAAAGAACGGCCATAGAAATGTAAATAACGGCACTGTGTATAGGCATAGAATTGGGCTTGGATTGTAGCTGTAATCGGGGAAGATAATGAGTGCTGGCGTCGATAAAAAATGGCAAGAGCATGCAAATGGCAATCATGAGACGATAAAAATGATAAACAGTTGTGTAGTTCAGACAGTTTTGATAAATTATTAAATCAATTATTTATTGAACCTTTACTGGAGAGTGGAAATATATTTTTAAATGGATTATTTGTACTAGAATTAAAAGAAAGTTGCTGCTAAAACCTTTTTTAGACTAATAATTTTTTTTAAATTTATTATAGGCAATCTTTTTGACTATAAAATATATTTTTTTAATATTCAATAAACACGAAAAATGTAGGTTTTATGTTTTTATTGCGACAATTCTCCATTTGTTGAAAAAATACAAGGCGTCGCTTTTTTCGCCAGTCTGTATTGGCTCATATGTATGATTCCTATGTTCACTTAAACTTTGTTTATAACCTAGTGTATAACTAAAATGCTGGATTATGGCCTAATTTTGCAGCCTCATTCACAACTCAGGAATAAAATTATAGAGGATACTATATGATGTTCAAAAGTGTGCATTATATAGGTGGGAGAATCAAAGCAATCAAAAGAATACAATCCATCGAACTGGTTTGAACACCTGTTTTATTCAATTTTGGGGGAATAAAAGTAGAAAAATTCTACTAAATATTTGCAAACCAGTAGCCTATAAACTGTCAGACCAAAGGTAAGGCTTTCCGAAACCGAATTCTTTAATGTTGACTGTTTATTTTATACACTGAGGGTTTTTATTTATTATGCTTGAGGGCTTTAATAATAACTTCCGATCTCGAAAAAATGGATCAAAAATGTTTCTTAATCTGGTTAAGGTTTGTTTTATTTATTTATTTACTTTTTTGATTATTAGTATGATCTTAAAAAAAGATTACAACAAAATGACATATATTTTTTAAACTACTTATTATAGTGAATTTTCCACAAAAATGTGGCCAATTTTAAAAAGCTTAGGAATTTGTTCATTTGTTCTTGCTATAGCGTGCTCAATAGGTTGCGATTTGGGCGAGGAGTTAGCTCTACTTTAATTGTCAATTATTTGGTTCTCTGCTTCCACTTATTTCCAACTCCTCCCCACTTTAGGCTACCTTGCTGATTTGATTGGAATACCTCCACTACCCAAGGTAGGGGGCACCTCAATTCATGAGCTCCTAGCACGCCATTTAATTATGGCTCTAGTGTTGGCAAACGTTTGCATAAATTACTTTAATTTCACTTTCAACATTGGGTTATGTGCCATCAATCCTATTTATACTCTCATAGCCCCTTTTTCCCACTCACTTAAGCGAGCGGTTTTTTTTTCGTATGACAGTTGAACGACGCGTCGTGACGTTTTGGGGCGTTGGCGTTGGTTACGACCATCAAGGAAGCGGCTAACGCGGAAGCGGATATGTGTCGAGAATGCTCAATGCACGGCCTGGCCGCCTTATTCACCAAAGTCTTGTTTTTCGCCTCGTTTGGCGTGCGACGTTCGTGCCTGGAGCGCAAGGCGTGCAAAGGACATAAAAAGGACAAGCGACAGAACTATCAGCTGTTCGTTTTGTTTCTTTATTTATAGTTGTTTTTTGTTGTTGTTGCTGCTGTTTCATTTACCAGCAGGCATTGCATGTTGGGCGCGACTTTCGTTAAACACTGACATTTCCTTAACCTTCACAACAATTTTTTGTTGGCCCTGGCAGTCAGACAATTAAACATTTTGCTGCCGTGCCCAGATTGCCTCGTTACTCTGTAATTGTTGTTCATTTAGTTTAATAAATTGCATGCTCTCTAAGCTGACATGTTGAAGGATAAGCGTAAACACAAAACGTATTTCCCTGCCGGGTTGATAGGATCCCTAAAGCAACGACTTCATGCTGTGTAGGCATTACACAAACACTCATATATAATTCCTTTCAACTGTTTTTCAATTGAGTGGCAGTAAACACAATATGATTATGGCCTCATGAGTGTGTTTAACAAAATTAAATGACAGTTTAAGTGTTCATTTAATGTACTTATTGTAATTTTAATGTAAATGAAAATATGATTTATTTTTCATGTAAGGACCGGTAAAGGGTTTTGAAATGAAATGTCGAACTGATATTTTTCTTTAAGCCTTTCGCTTTATATGCTAACAGTCAATTCTTAGCCTCTTAGTTGTCTATTTTAACAATGTTTGAACATTTTGAGTGACACTGTTATTATGCTGTGTTCAAGTAATGGATTGGATATTATTTAACATGAAAAATTTAAAATTTAAGATTAATGAAACTCCCTCTCAATACATTATTTTCCTTCCAATATACATAAAAATATTTTAAAATTATTTTGAGGCGACATTTAAAATCTATAAATCTACTGTTGGTTTAGTTATCTCGACATCTTAGTTTTCTAATGTTGTAATATTTTTATTGCGACTTCTCTAAAATATGATCGATATGTATACTAATATGACCGATTGAACCTCCAACATAAAAAAATGCATATTTCTTCATTTCTATACGTATGATGATGCTATATTTAAAAAAAAAATTTTTTTGTTCATCTCCTCTCCTTCTAAGCCTGCACAAAACGGCATATCTCCTTGCAATGCTCCCACCTCTTAAACCTCTCCTTCGCCATCCTGCTTCTCATATTAAAAGATGCCTAAACACAATGCTGAAGTTTGGTTAATGTATGAGGTCTTCTAGAAACGTTTCCGACTGTCCGCGCATACATTATTTTACCTTCGACTATTTCATATTATAAAATTGTTTTGAAAAGTCTCAAATTAAAAATAACAGAAATTGTTTAAAATCATCAGCTCTACTTATTTATTAACATCTGCAAGAATAATACGCAATAATAAAATCAGTGGAAGAGGAATAAAATTCTGAAGCTCTTTAAATAAACGACAAACTTTTGAGCTTTTAAAGTGTTTCTCAAAATTTTACGCAAATATTAAACTGGGCTATAAAACCAACAAACAAAAAAAATAAATGTAAACCCTTTTCCCTTTTCCTAACATATTTAATAATCTACTTGTATGCAGAAGAGGCGGCGGTTTATTTGTGGTTCGTGACCGAAGATGAATTTCTTAAAATAAACTACAATATAATTGTATTTCCATGCCAAGCACGCCCAAATCACGTGAATTACGTGGCGTATGCGCAACTTTTCCATTAGGTGTTTGTGTCTGGTCGGGAGCTGAGCACGTGTTGCCGCTAAGCATGAGGTGTTTACATTACTTGGGAATGGGGTAAGCAAAGGCCACGAACTGACATCGAATATGGCTATGCATATTTACAATTTGTAATTTTGAAAAGCTGGCAGACTTTTTTGTGTTTTTCAGTTCGGTTTATAGGAGACGACGTTGTGGCAGCATTTCGAATATCCCACGCCCGCATGCCAAACAAATACATACACATACACTACTTGTATATATCACGTATTCGCCGCGTCTGCATTTCTCATACGCAGGCAGATGGCGGATAGTTGATGGTTGAGTGCACTCGTTCGTCAGTCATTTTCACATTTTCTTAGCAAACACATAAAACAATAACAATAAGCAATCAAAGCTTTTCTTTACGCTTTAGGAAAACCAAACCTGGAGTGCACGTCGCAAAAGCTTCAATTGGCGTGCACAGCTCGCACAGCTAATCAAAATAAAAACTTCCTGGTTGGTGGTTACGGGTGCGAATGCGATTGCGATTGCTACTGCGAGTGCCGTGTCCGTACACTACAGGTGGTTGTCGGGCATTTGAGTCGCGCCATCTGATTGACCCGTCAGTCAACGCAATGTGCCACAAACTGAAGCCATAGCAACGCAAACCCGGGTGTGCCTGTGCGCCCGATAGGGGTGTACGGTGTAGGGTGTAGGGTATAGGGTGTAGTGTGGAGTGTCCTACAAGACTTGTCTGTGCGCTATCATGTCGCTATCATGTCACACCCACACAACCACACACTCATTTGTACGCTCAGTTAGCGACATGCGGCTTTTGCTCTTTAATCGATAATAAGCCGTTTTTAATTAGCATTCCCATTAATTGTATTGTTTGTGTGTGAGCTTAATAAATAGATACATACTACATAGTATCTGGGTGCGATTACTAAAATGTCTTTTCTCGCCTCAGAAACTCTCATGCGCTATATATTTCACGCATATATGAGTTTTTTTTAATGCAAGAAAGTGACGAAAGGCCATTAGTTTTACAACAGCTTTGAGGATACATGTTTTACTATAAAAATTGCTCAATTTTTAAGCATATCGTTTAAGTTTATGTATTCAAAAAAATTATGTTTGATGTTATATAGAATGATATAGGCATGCATAAAAGATATCTTACGGGTTATCTTACTAGGTGTCTGACAAGCTGACTAGAGAAAAACACCCATCTTCAATCCTGAAGAGGATCGAAGTATCCACAGTGTTGGGGGTATTTATAAGTGAGCAGACACGTTGCTAGACTTGGCGTTCCGTTCGAAGACTTCTGCAGAAGCTGTAGACATAAGGAAGATGAGTAAAACGTAGACGTCCTTCTCTGTTATCAAGCTCGGGCTCATGTTCCAGATAAACCTTTAATCGCATAGATAAGCAAAAAAAAAAAAAAAATAGAGATTAATTATGGAATTTATTAGTAACAATTTGGCTGAAGGAGAACCAGAGTGGTATTTTATTTATTTTATCATAATGGGCACTTGTAGGACTAAATGTGTTGGCGAACATCATCGTTCTAACATCTGAATATAACCCAACCTAACCAATAGCGAAAAGATTATGTTGTCTAATGCTTTTCGATCCAGGGAAACCAAAATTGCCATATAGACCTATCTTTTCTAAATATACGAGTATATAGGGTTTCTTATGGACCACCAACTAACAATAATTGAACTGTTTTATTTGAAGGTCTTAATACCAATATTTAATTTAAACTTAAATGTTGAAAAAGTTGCAGCATAATAATAAAATTAAAACAAAAATTTATATTTCAACAAAATTATTATTCGAATTCCACTAACGCGTATATTAATCACAGATCGGTCAGCTGCTTACAGGGAATCCCGCAATGCAAAGCACCCCACCGCATTTGTTTACTGATGTTTATTGTTTTTAAATAGCACTCAACAACAACAGCAAACAGAATCTACAGTAAATAGCAGACAAACGTCACGAATGAATATTAAATGCAAGCGGCAGCCAGTCAGCCAACCAGCCAGCTTGCTAGAATTTTACTGAGAAAAGCTTTTGCCAGCCGTTCAGAACGGAAAAGCAACGCGCCGCAAACGCCACGAAACGCGCACGCAAACGACAAAATAAAACGCGGGCGCGCTCATGAGATATAAAAAATAATTAAAATAAATTTCGCATAGAAATAAGCTAAATAGTCATAAAAGAATTTGTATATATATTATAGACATATATATACGATAAAAGTACATGCCGCCACAAAATTCAATTCAAGGCAATACCAAATAGGCGTCTACATATCACTGGAAAGCCTCCAACTGCCCCACTCGCCCCAGCAAAACGCTCCAGTTGCGGCAACAGTTGGCACGGCCAAGGTCTTTTATGTGCGGGCCAAGAGCTGCGGAATATTTAACCGAATACCGAACATAACTAAACAAAATAATATTGAAATATATTGAACAAGTGTGTAGTGAAAATATTCATAATCATATATACAAAGTGTTCAAGTGATTGCATTTTATTTTGATATTAAATCCCGCTAATTGTGTTCAGATTTGTGAATTCAAAATGCCTGACAAAAAAGAAGAGGTAATAAGAAATACAAGTAATTCATGCTAAGAATTGCACTGCAAAGAAAAGTGAACGGAAATTTCAAATTTGTTTATTAAATAGATGAATATGTTAGTTACGGAAATTACTTTAGCCACGATTATAAGAAATGCGTTGAAAAAGCAAAACACATATCACAAAAGTGCATTTAACTAGATTTTTGGCTAAAAAAAAACTTAATTGAAACGAGAGTTTCAACGGAAATCATTTTACCTGTTTCGCTTGACATTTTTCGATTACAACAAAAGTAAATAAAGTGAATACTTTTGTGTCTATATTGTGCTCTTTTTAAGCACACACACACACATATAGCTTTTAGATGAGTTTGTCAAAACAAAAGAAATACAAATAACGTTTTAATATCACATTGTAGGTCGTTAAAAAAGCTCTTCTTCGCATTATAATAATATAATTTGTACCTCCCTCAGTCGAAAATGTGCCCACAAGCTCCGCAACAATATCACCTTCATCCAAAAGCTAAAATTTCTCATGACTTTGGAAAAGTCAACGCTATCTCAGCGCTCGCCACGAGCCCGTCGAGTGTGTGTGTTTGTCGTTTTCATTGCACTTCTGGCCCGATTATCATTTTTATTAGATTTTCATGCAACTGTCACAAGGTGTTGACTGCCTGCCGACTACTGGCTAGTCTGCAATTTCACATTTTTAAACAAAACTTCAGCTAGATGTGACAACATTACTCACAGCTGGTCTTTCGAGACTGACTGCGAGAGCAGATTCTCTCGCCGTCTAACTGCCTCTTTTGTTGCTCTGCCATCTGGAACTGTTTCTATTACGAGTATATATCTAGTATGTGTAGGTTTGTGCTTTCGCAATTAGCTCGCTGCTCCCTCCCGTCCGCTTCCCAGACTGTGTCCGGTCATACCCTGCGTATACGTAATCGAAATGCAGCCAAACAATTATTGCACTACTGCCATTGCGCTAAAACAAATTACTTTTGTATAAATGAGCAATGGAGAAGCAGGAAAGCCAGCTAAATATAGTGCAGGTTAAAATAACTGAGCTGCTACCCCTTTGAGCTACACTCAAACTTCCTGTTCTGGTCAATAAACGTTGACAATGATTTGTTAGACGCGCAGTGTGACCAGGTTATATGAAATTCTAGAGCAATTTAACGCTAGCAGGCACTTTTATTCAACAATAGACGTTTTCTGGATTTGTAACCTAACTTAATTTATGTTTTTTATTTTGTGAAGTTATGTTTCTAAGCAGTGGTTTCTATTTTAATTAACTAAAACAAAAGTTGGCTAATAATCCATTCTTGCGTAGAGTTTCACATTTAGTAAATTTTTCTGGCAGCTGTTCAAGATGTAGAGCTAATTTGTACTATATGTCCAAATGGAAAGACCTTCATAATAACACATAAAACATACGTGAAAGTGTTTAAATAGACAGCACACTGATGTGCTTGCTTGAGCAAATTGGAAAAGTATTTTTTTGGCAAGTAAGGCAAATACGCTTAACTCTTAGCAATTTTTTACAATGTCGAGAACGATTCGTTTACCATTAAAAAGGGCGAGATATTTAATAATGAGAAGACTTCATAAAATGTTAAAAGTTATTTTCATACTACTTTGATTGTTAAACATATTAGCTTTTAAATAAAAAATTTAAATATATTTGTCAGTAACGTTATTATTTTGTATTTTTATACATCAAAACAAATCTTAAACAAGGTATATATTTTTCGTACAGAGTCTGCTAAATTGATTGTTTCGTAACTATGTAATTATTTTTTGTTTTCTTGCGACTCTAAAACAAATAGCTTACTTGAAAATATACGTTCGTGTAGTATAGAACACAAAATAATTAGTACAAACGTTTAGCTAATAATTGTGTTTAAGTCGCCAAAACTGTAGATTCGTGGAGAGCTTTCTTAGCGTAGTCTCTTAGGGAAGTAACACTGTACTGCATGCCATTTCGTGACCTCAGTCGTGGCACAAGGCACGAGGAGTCGCTGTCTGTGTCGGTTTGCTTGGCTCCGATTCCAGCTGTATGAGTATGTGTTGCGATAATGAACAACGAAGCTGACCTTGAAAGGAATTGCAAAACTATGCGGCAGTTGTCAGGCAGGCTCAAATCTGCATACACAGTCAGAACAGAAACGTGCCGCACGTTGAACGTTGCTGGCGACCTTTGATGGTACAAAGCCAGCAGACAAACGACCTCATTATAATTTGCAACTAAATCCAAACCAACACCCCCCCCCCCCCCACACACACACACACATGCACACACGAGCCAAAAAAACCATTTACGAAAAGCCGCACCAACAGTTTTACTGGCTGGGCGGCATACGAGGCGTATGTGCAACATTTTCCGCTTGTTGGCGCTGCACAACTTTTTTCTGTATGCATGTATGTGTGAATGCTTATTACGGTTGTGTGTGTGTGGTTGAGAGAGAGCATAAATTTGGTTCGCTTTCAAGTTCAATGTGAAGGATGCACAGCTTGTGGGAACTTTTTTTTTCATCAGTTCGTTTTGTAGTTGTTTGTTTTGTGTTTGTGTGATAAATTGAAACACGTTTTGTTTGTTTGTTTGCTTTGCTGCCACTGCATTCATATTTGTTTATTTGTATAACGAATTTGCATTCATATGTCAGCAAATTCTGTTGAATGAGTTTCTACCGCTCTTATTAGCAATTATAATTCAGTCTTATCTTTCATAGCAGTGATTGCTTTTTGTTTTAAACATATAAAATGAATAAATTAAACATTTAGTGGACACTCAATAAGTGACAAATAAAACAATAAATACTGAACTTATAGCTTTCTGTAATCAGCATTTGTTGCAAGTTAATCTATTATTACTAATTAGAGATAAATCATGGAAAAAATATAATTATTCATAGAATACTATATATTGGATTCGGATTTTCAATTGCTGTAATAAAATTAATAATTTAAACTCCCTGCAAAATGTTTATTAAGGTTTAAAAATTATTAAAAAGCTACTACCCTTTTTAAAGAGCATTTTTAAAGCAAAAAGAAATTTCTTGAATACAAACGTTCCAAAAAAAAGTGTGGCTTATTTTACTTACAACATATTTTACTTACAATATTAGCACCAGATGGCTTTGATTTATTTTCTGTGTGAAATGCTGGTTAAATTTCGTGCCGATTTGATATACATTTAAAGGTCTTTTGTCCATGCAAATTCGATATAATTTAAATTCTCTTTTTTGAGTTCCATTTAAGTACAGTTTTTCAGTTTAAAAGTATTCTCCCACTTTTATTTTCACAAGTATACGTTTTAAAAAGGAACATCTATTTGTTGGGCTATCTCATATAACCTAACTACTGGTTTGTAAATTGTAGACTTTGGAAAGGGTATTAATTTACAGCTCCAGCATAGATTACGCACTTTGCCAATAAAATAAATTGCTCAAAATCAATGAAATCACAAACAGAACCCACATATATGTATGTTGTTGTTATTAAATACAAGTAATCCTCCAGTTCGGGCTGTTCAACAGTGCATTATGGCAGAATGGCAAAAACAAATATGAATTCAGCAATGGAAATATTTAATACAATCAAAAATCATATCAGTTTGCTCTTGTTGCATTATTATTCCTGTTGATTTCAAATGCAATCTTGTTATTGTTTTTCGCAATATTTGCGACTGCAAATATCAATAAACAGACGACAGAACGACACAAACAAATGGACAGTGCAGGCTGCCCCCAGCAACGAGGGAGCCTCTTGACAACCACATCGACGACAATAACAACGATTGGGAAAAATTACATCGCCTTTTAATCGCATTACGTCAATGAATCAATTGATAAATGTGCCAGCCTTTGATGATTTGTTGTCGATGTGGTTGGCGCCATTGGCTGACTTTTAACCGTTGTTTTGTTTTTGATCAGAACAATTAAATTGTAACCAAATAGTTAGTCATACATATGTGCGATTTAAACTTTAATTATCTATGACATATTAAACTTAAATTTGTGTAGTTTAATTAATTCTTAAAACAACACACAGCATAGAGAGGAGAAAAATAGCATAATATTTCCCAAACAATAATATAATTCAATAATTGATTGCAGCAATTTAAATTAATTTATTGAATTTTAATTTGGTTTCAATTGCCTATGAATTTGTTTTCATTCTGTGTATTTATTTTTTTATTGAACAAAAAGCAGTTGATATAACACCACAGAAAACCTCTAAAGTAACAAATAAAACAGGCTACAAAATTACAATAATATCTAATAATGAATCCAAATTAATGGGGATTTGTTTTGTTCACTAACTAGTGCTATCAGAGATTTATCTGCAAATGAATGAAAAGGTTGAGAACAACTAACCTGGTGGGGAAAATTAATCAAGTTATTCATACTCGTAACTAGTAATGACAGTAATATTACAAAAGTACAACTTTTATTTTCAAAGTTCAAAGATCACCTAATAAATTAAAATAGAATGGCATTAGTTCGGTCTTTTTTTTACTAAAATTTGTCTTTTTTATTTGTTTTTATTAATTTAATCACTTCATGAACAAAATTTGCCTTTTATTTTGTTTTTATAAACTTAATCACTTTATGGATATAACTGATGTTATTTAACTATGTTTGCCATTGTTCAGTTTAAATTAAAGCCGATGCATGAAAATAATCTGTACCTAAATATATTTAGAAAATATTATTTTGTGATAACACAACACACAATGCCGACAAAAGTATAATAATAATTTCATTGGAGAGGGAACTCCAACATTGATTTGCTCTTTTGATAAACAACTCTTTTAGGCGGCAAAATTGTTTGCAAACAAACCATAAAAACCTGATTTATAATAGTAATATTTGAACCTAAGTAGAATTTAAGAGAACGCACGCAACTGATAAGAGAGGCAGAAGCCTAAGAGAGTGATCGCATGTGTGCGCCAAGCAGCAGACAAAGATAAAAACAAGAATGGAATGCTAATGTGGAGCGGACCCGACTCTTGGAAACCCTGTATCCACTTATAAAATAAGTAATAATAGTAATAATAACTATAACATTATTTCTTAAATTCTTTAAATGCAAATAAATAACATTTTGCCTTAAGTTTGGCGATTTGCATAGTTAAATCAAAGCTCTGCAGCTTATACTATATAGATGCTCATATTTTATTTATTTATTTCTTTATTATTAGTTCCTAGCTTATATAATATAGATGTCTTATATTTAATTTATTTATTTCTTTATTATTAGTTAGTTTAGTTCCTAGTGCGATAAAAAAGATCTGCAGCTTATACTATATAGATGCTCATATTTTATTTATTTATTTATTTATTATTAGTTCCTAACTTATACTATATAGATGTCTTATATTTAATTTATTTATTTCTTTATTATTAGTTAGTTTAGTTCCTAGTGCGATAAAAAAGATTCTTATAAATTAATGCACCAGTCACATAAATTCAATTTCCTTTGATAATAAAATTAAAAGTGAATTGATTAGTCTACTATTTTTATTAGATACCTTTTATTTATACATAAATCGAAAATTTGTTTGGTTTTTTTTTTCAATATCGTTATATCTAGTAAAAAAGTGTACTACTGAGTGTAAATGTATTAGTGTTAGTATTAGTATTGTGCTCTTTACTTTATTTTCATTCAGATATTCTCTTGAAAATGCGCTTTCATTTTATTACTAAAATGCGTTTCACTGCTGATTGTTTTTAAGCTATGTGGTAACGAACAGCAAATATGAAAAAGTATCTTTCGGAACAGGATTTATTATTATTATTTTTTTTCCTTTTTACTCCGCTTGGGAGCTTAGGGCTTCTACAAGAACATTTTTCCACCAGACTCTCAATTTCTAGCCGTCTGTCTGTCTTATATTATAACTATATTATTTGTTCTTTTTCTATATTTATGGCTATAACTTCTTTTAGAGTTAACCCATCATTGAGACACTTCAAAACAGTACAACAGGGAGATTAATTGAATTTTCGAAAGCTATAAGTGGAGAAGTGGTGTGGTCAAGTTTTCCCTCTGAGCGTTACATAGGCTCGCACTAAACTAGCATACCCTTCAGCTCTATTGGGTACAGAGTATAGCAAACACTCTGCCATTCAACACTCAGTGGCGATAAGTGGTGTGGCTCTTTAGCCATGGCATTCACATTCCCTCGACCGCTTCCCCACGCCCATGTTCTACCCCGAAGTAGCAGCCAAGAGACAAGTAAGTCGAGCGCGCAGACCCGTCTGCTGCTCAGTTGTTTGTTCGTCGGTGCGCGCTAAACGTGAGGGCAGCGTCTGTCTTTCAGAAGCAGAAGAAACGGCTTCGTTACGGGTTTCTTATACTTGATAAGTTCTATACACCATATACTATATACACACAGACATACTCTGCTGCTATTGGGATTCAGTACAAATTGATGAGCTAATCAAATGTCAGCGTAGAGCACATACATACTATACATAATAAAGCGTACGGGAACATTAGAAATTAAATAAGAAAATGCCACTTGCGAAGAAGCCATTAAATGTGAGTTAAAAAAGCAACCCACACAGCTGAAAGCTTGTCGCGGAGAGTGTTTCACGTACACGTGTCGTTTTTTGTTGCTTTTGTTTTTGCACTATAATTGATTCACAACTAATACTCTCTCTCTCTGTGTCTCTCGCTCACACTTTTTCTCTTTTTTATGCTCTTTTCTGCAGGCCCCCTCGTTCTTGAAACGTGCCGGCACCGATAAATTGCGCGAAGTTTTCCTCAAGTACGCCTCATTACAGAAGGATGGTGAACATTATATGACCAATGAGGACTTTGTGCGAAAATTTCTTGGTTTATTCACGGAGGCTGCATTTAATGATGTAAGTAATTCACTCAGAAACACTGCATGCAATTGGGTCATTGCAAGGTCATTGAAAAGGCCCGGCGGCTGTGCCAACAAAGAGTGACGTAGTACAGTACTGATAAGAAATTCAAAATTCTGCAGCAACAGAGTCAGAAACATTGTATCTTATCAGCATACAAGTAATACCCCACAAGCTCAGACACGAACACAAACACGCGCACACACATGCACAGACCCCACTATTAACCTTTTGCCCACAGTCGGAGCCTCATAAATCTCCAGCTGTGCAATATATGAGTAGCAGCATGATTCAGTTGTTTGGCTTGATCTGAGTTGGCCTCCGTCTGGCACGTCAGAGCAAATCACCAGACGGTTGCTTTCCAGTTTCAACCGCAAATGCCGAAAACCAAATTGTGTTTCCTTATCAGTCTCGACCGGTCCGTTTGTGGCTTTTTATCGCACCAATTTGCCGAGCACACTCGCTTGTAGTGATTTTCAGTTGCACTTTTGCCGAGAACTTAGTACCCCAATTCATATTAAATATTTATGGCTATTTATAGCCCAATCGATTGGGTTTAATGTTCACTACGTTTCGATTGAATTTTAATTAGGAATCGGTGCGTCTACTAGCTGGTATTGCGGATACAAGCAAGGATGGACTCATCTCGTTTTCGGAATTTCAAGCCTTCGAGGGCCTACTCTGCACACCCGATGCGCTCTATAGGACCGCTTTTCAGCTGTTCGATCGCCAAGGCAATGGCATGGTGTCCTATGGTAAGTAAATAGAATAAAATATAAATGATAAAATTGTAAAAGTGATGTAAAGTATACACATGTTTGGAAACTTACTTTTATTTTACGATTAATCTCTGATAACTCCATTACACAAAGTCTGCTGTAGATACTTGCAGATATACTTGTACATACTATATGCATACGATACAGAGAAAGAGAGAGCCTGCTTTGCAAAAATCCTCAACGAATTATATAATTTTTTCATAATTCTATTACACATTTTAATTAATTAATAAATATAGTATTATTAAAAAAAAGATAGTCCCTCATTTTATATACAATAGTATATTCTGAAGCTTCTTAATAATTAATAGCTGTGATTATTGATTTATTTTCTTACTGTCGCCATCGATCATGAAATTTATTAACCTGCTTTAAGGAGTGACTTATATCTGTAGTTTTATTTTATAATTATATTATACATTCATGTTATTTTCCAATATGTTTTTCGTATGGTGTTACGAATCTGTCACTAATAATTTTCAAATTTTGTAGATTTTTAAGTTTTATATAATGCTCGAACATTAATTATTTTCAAAACGAAAAAGATTGTCTTGCTCTCTTATCAATTCAATGCCACTAATTTTAGGAATTTTCTGCATTAATTTTTTGCTTTTGTTAGCTTTTTTTAGCAAACACAAATTTAATTGTTATTTATACACATTTTATATTCTTTATCGAATATCTTCGTAAATGATTTTCTTAACGTAATTTTCATTTTTCTTGACATTCAAAAACCAATTACTTCCATTTAAACACTACTTTGTATTAACTATTATTTGGAATTAAAATAATTTATAAACATGTGAAGCTAACTTTTTTTCCTTTTCCCACTTCCAGCTGACTTCGCTGATGTCGTACAAAAAACTGAACTGCACTCAAAGATACCTTTTAGCCTAGATGGTCCATTTATCAAACGCTACTTTGGTGGTGTAAGTATATAGTACAACCTTGATATATGTGTTGAATATATATGTAATTGCGTATGCATTTTACAGAAAAAGCAACGCCTTATCAACTATGCTGAATTTACGCAATTGCTGCACGATTTCCATGAGGAGTACGCAATGGAAGCATTCCGTAGCAAAGATCCAGCTGGCACTGGATTCATCTCGCCATTAGACTTTCAGGATATTATCGTTAAGGTCAAGCGGCATTTACTCACGCCCAATGTTAAGGATAATCTGGTGGCTGTAAGTATTTAATACTATACTGCTAAGCTATATAGCTACTATTTCATAGTTTGATTCTCTCTAAATTCAGGTGACCGAGGGCCACAAAGTGAGCTTCCCATACTTCATTGCATTTACCTCGCTTCTCAACAACATGGAGCTGATCAAGCAAATCTATCTGCAAGCCACACAAGGCAATCGCCATGAGCCTGTTACCAAGGATCAGCTGCTCTATGCCGCACAAACCATGAGCCAGATAACGCCCCTGGAAATTGATATACTCTTTCAATTGACTGGCGCCGTTTACCAGACGGGGTAAGCGAAACGTATTTGGTGGCAGCAGAGTACGCGTGTACTTAGAGTGTAGCATGTTTGTGTGGCACTTAAACCATCACGTGACATTTTTAGATAACATTCACAGACTAGCAGCAGAATTCACAAAAGAGCCTCAATTTTGATCGCCTCTCATATTTAACTCCAAATTCTCGTTATTTGTGTGAATAACCAAACATATTTGTCTTTTTTCTTTCTCTTTCTCTCTCTCTCGTGCTCACAAAATTTCATTGCATACAAATAATAATTAATTTTACATTGAAATACACTCAATTTTTGTAGTAGCTGGTGGAATCGCAAAAAGATAGTTCCGCATAGGCAAGTGTTTGTTGTCCTTTGAATCGTTTTTTGGTCTTATTTACTTATTTTCCTCAGCTTCTTTATACGCACCAAAGTCAATCCAAAAGCCCGCTATACATAACCCTGTCAGTGTCTATTAGTTTCCCACTTTTTAGAAACAATTTCCAACATTTTGTGTATACTTTTAACTAATTTATTACCGTTTATCCACAGCCGAATTGCGTATAGTGACCTGAACAATATTGCACCTGAACATTATACAAAGCATATCACACATCGATTAGCCGAGATCAAGGCTGTCGAGAGTCCTGCCGATCGCTCTGCCTTCATACAGGTGCTGGAGAGCACCTATCGCTTCACTCTGGGCTCCTTTGCAGGCGGTAAGTGAAAAAAATTAACAATTGTTGTTTGATTTCTTAAGTCTCGACTAATACAGTAAAACCAACCGAAGTCAAGATCCCCTGATTGACTTTTGGACCCATTATGTGAAGATTTTTTAGCCAGTCTGTTGTAAGCTATATCTAATAAATTATCACCAGTTTCTGCCAAAAGAGAAGAGAGAGAGAAGAGAACTCTAAATCCAATTTCTTTCAACTTAGCCAAATATAATACTTCAGAAGTATACGGGTATTTATAAAATAAAATGCTTTTCTGTCATTAATAAACATATATAATAGCGTTTTGTTTTAGGTTTTTCTAAATATATTAAGCAAGATTTATAAAAATTGAAAATTGAAAAATGTTCAAGCCATTACTTGAACATTTTCATAATGCTGAACAATTATTTTAGTTAATAGCCCTGTCCAGCCATAATTAAATAGCCTCTGCTATCAACACAATTACTTGACTAAATTAAAATCGACCTTTTGCTTTTGAAATCAGATATTTCTCTGACTTATTAGAATATAATTATATCTACTTTTAAATGTATATACAGTTAAATCTCAATTATCCGTAATTCTCGGGAGCGATCTGATGGAAGAACTGGATTCAATATTTTCACATATGCATATACAAACATTTAAAAATGTTGACTTGTTTTATTCCAAAAAATCATATACTATAAAAGTTTATTTAAAATAGTCTGTTATTTGAGTAAATTTTTGGTTCTAAAAAACCTGAACAATTGAACTCTTGTAGTTCCCTAAGAACTTAAACAGAAGATTCGTAAGATTAGTCCATGTAGACTATCTGTATTGCCTGCGTCTGATTTCTAAGAGCTCGACCCAAATTAAAGTGCTTACGATAATAGAGGAATATAGTCCCTGGCAGACAAAAGAGAGTAACCACGGTTTAATATATATGCTAGAGATATAATAGATGTTCCCGGTTAATAGAGACCATCATAATCGAGGTACAGATGAAACCCTAATGCTGGAAATGCGTTTCCTAATAGAAGAACATAGAAAAAAATACAGAAGAATTGACAACATCCTCCTTTCTTTAAGTAGGTTCAAAAGAGAAAATAAGCAGCATTATTGAATGGAAATGGAACTCTAGAAAATAATCTGCTGGGTGATTAGTTTATAAGTGCGTCTTCAATTAAATCTACATTCAGATTGGATTAAATAATTGTCCAATTCAAAATAATACCTCTTAATATGCAAGTATTTTAAAAGAGCTCAATTTCATTGCATTTTCACAGCTGTTGGCGCCACTGTGGTCTATCCCATTGATTTGGTGAAGACGCGCATGCAAAATCAACGTACAGGCTCGTTTATTGGCGAAATCGCGTACAGAAACTCCTGGGACTGTTTTAAGAAGGTTATTAATTATTATATAAACTAATTCATTATTCGCTAATCAACTTTGATTATTTTAGGTCGTACGCCATGAGGGCTTCCTTGGACTGTATCGCGGCTTGTTGCCTCAGCTGATGGGCGTGGCACCCGAGAAGGCCATAAAGCTGACTGTTAACGATTTGGTGCGTGATAAGCTGGTCGATAAAAATGGTGACCTGCCCACTTGGGCGGAAGTGTTGGCTGGTGGCTGTGCCGGCGCTTCGCAGGTGGTCTTCACCAATCCTCTGGAGATTGTTAAGATTCGACTGCAAGTGGCGGGAGAAATCGCCACTGGCTCCAAGATAAGCGCCCTGTCGGTGGTGCGAGAATTGGGCCTCTTCGGTCTGTATAAAGGAGCGCGTGCCTGTCTGCTGCGCGATGTGCCCTTCTCGGCCATTTACTTCCCTACCTATGCGCACACCAAGGCGCTGATGGCCGATCAGGATGGGTGAGTATATTGCTAATGTCTAATGAACATTATATCTGAACATTATATCTTCAGTTATAATCATCCGCTGACATTGCTTGCTGCTGGCGCCGTTGCTGGCGTGCCTGCCGCCTCGCTGGTCACACCTGCTGATGTCATAAAGACGCGACTACAGGTGGTTGCACGTTCGGGACAGACCACCTACACGGGCGTCTGGGATGCCACCAAGAAGATCATGGCCGAAGAGGGCCCACGCGCCTTCTGGAAGGGCACAGTTGGTGAGTAGCTATCTAACTAGCTGCCTCAATGGGCTTGGCCTTAACATCGCTTATTTGGCTTCTTGTAGCTCGCGTCTTCCGCTCCTCGCCACAGTTCGGTGTCACGCTGGTCACCTATGAGCTGCTCCAGCGTCTGTTCTATGTGGACTTTGGTGGATCACAGCCCAAGGGCTCCGAGATGCCTAAGCCAAAGGTTCCCTTGGACAATGTGATAAGTGGGACAAAAATAACCGCTGATCATATTGGTGGCTATAGGGCGGCTCTTCCTCTGCTCGCCGGCATCGAGTCCAAATTTGGTTTGTACCTGCCTCGGTTTGGGCGTGGCACTGCCTCCTCATCATCCGCCTCTGCCTCCGCCTCCGCCTCCAGCTCAACGCCTAGCACGGCGACGGGATCGTGATTGTATTGGCGCCATCGCCTAAACAACGTCAGTTAGGGGATTTACAATTTTAGACATTTAGACAGAAAATTTAGGAGCTACAAGAGCTATATACTATATGTAGAGCTGGCCATCCAAACTCACACACACACACATATACACATACTATATATTTTTTGCTAGGACGCGTTTACACACGGCCCATATAGAGGAAGAAGAAATAAACCAAAAAAAAACAAAAACAAATATAAACTGATTGTGAACCTGAAACTAATGCTGAGAGTCAATGGCAAAGTGTGAAATTTATAATTGTATATCGACTATTGTAAAGTAGTGTGTACTTTTTCTAATCAGCAACAATACAAACAAAAACAACAACAACAACAAAAACAAAAGCAGCAACTAAGTTGTAACGAGTGTAAGAAACTTTTGTAAAATTTGACTATTTAAGTGCGTACACAAAATCAGGAGCTGTTCTCTACTTTTGTAGCTGTGTTAAATCAATTATAATACATACATACGAGTAAATAATAAAAAGAGCTAGTTCAAATGTAATGGCACACAATCGTTTTGAAAATACACAATCGAAGTGAAGAATCGAATTCAAAATATGAGGGCATTCAAATTTTATTATCAGGCTGTGGAGTGTAGGAAGAGAACTCTTTACAAAATATCTCCACATCTAACTAAAATATTTAAATAAATCTATCTTTGTTGTATATACACTTTTTCATCCGTTATTCTGATAATAAACTGAATATTCGGCATAATTGTTTTGGTTTCTGTTTGTTTTGTTTTCAACGTTGTTAGCTACTATTTAAAAGTTTTAATGATACAAAATACTGAACTTTAACTTTTGCACTTTAAACTTAAATACTAGTGAAAATTTTTCAACAATTATGCAATTAAAATACAATGAATGACCTCTTAGCTAATAAAAACAAATTATTAAATATACACATATATAATTCAAAAGAAGTCTTTAAATATGCAACTAACATTTTTCCAACCACTATTTAATATTTTATTTATTATTATAAACTGAACCCGTAGGGCAAAAGGGTGCAAGGTGTAACAGGGGAGTAAAGTATATTCTTGATCAGTGTGACGAGAGCAATCTAGATCTAGATATGTGCGTCTGTCCGTTTGACTGAATGAACGCCTAGACTTTGAAAACGACTGAGCCTAGGTTGACCAAACTTGTTATGTAGACTTTACTTATGGTAATGCAACAAGAGTTTATTTTATTATTTTTATACCCTGTACCCAATGGATAGAAAGGTATACTAGTTTAGTGCGAATGTATGTAACAGGGAGAAGGAGGCATGGCAGACCCCACAAAGTATATATATGCTTGATCAGGATCAGCCATGTCCGTCCGTCCGTCTGTCTGTATGAACGCAAGGATTTCAGAAAGTATAAGAGCTAGAATTACCAAACTTGGTATCCAGATTCTCCTAAGTCCGAGAAAGTACGAGTTTGAGTTCTTTTCGATAAATTAAATAAATGAATTACATTTTTTTAATTATTTTTTTTTTTAATTTTCCTTTTTTGTGGAGATAGCAGGGTATTTTACTGCCGGGCTTGCTCGACTGTAGCATTCTATCTTGTTTTATTTTGTCCCCCTATCTCCCGAAACAGAATTTCAATAAGCTCTGCATGCGCGTTTAATATACTTATATTTTTCATGAAAAAATTCTCTTCAGTACTACACCCACAAACTGTAGGAGAGGGTTTGCTCTTCTTATTCTTGCTTCTGCTATCAGCGGCGGAAGTTTGTAAGGGTGCAGGGTATTTCACTGTCAGACTTGCTCGCCTGTTGCATTCTGTCTTGCAATTTGGCAGCAATGAGGTTTTGGACCTCTATTCTCATTGTATCCTGCGAGCTATAATAGCTGTAATAGGACCCGTTAAATAATTGAAATCCAATTATTCTTGGGAAAGTGATTTGGGGGCATAAATTTGATAGTTTTGTTATAACAGAAACCCTGATAAAACTCCAAAAAGGCATTGTTGATTAGCAGAATATTGTTATATTCTATAATGCTTCCTTCACTTCAGATAGTCTTTTGCCAATTTGTGGCGAGCTGAATAATTTGTTCAATGGTTTATTGAATTATCATGATATGTCAATGAAATGGGTTTGAACTAATTGAATGGGTTGGTCCGCAACTTTTCACCCATTGCGAGCAGAGGCTTTGCAAATTTTTCACATTATAGCTCAGAAAGTCAATGAAGCGCTCACGTCACAGTTAGAATCGTTTGACATTTGCAAATCGTCCGCTGACAAGTTAATTTTATGGCCAGGCGAGTTCACTTCTGGGCCAATAGATTCCATTTCGAATTCAACAGTTTTGATAAGTTTTGTAGTTCACTAGGCTACTAAGGCGCAGCCACGCCCCCTACGCACATCAGCAGACCAAACCCACTGACCATGACACTCAAAACAAGGCAGCCATCGGGTTATCTTCTCTTCCACCGTTAACCATTAGTTCTGCACATAATGCGTAAGGCTAGAGAGCAGCAAAGACCCCCTCCTTACCCCCCTTTCCACTTCACTCAACCACCGTCTATAGCTCTATAATGATTGGTTTAAAGGCAAAAGCGTTTTCCAATCACTGGACAGCTCTTGGGGCATAAAAAGCCGACGCGAATCTCGAGCGGCCGCAGTTTCATTTCAGACGCGGTGGTCAGCGAATATGGAATTTAATTTTGTGAAAAGTGTGTGCGTGTGTTGTTTGTTGTGGCACCTGGTGGCCTGTCAAGTTCAAACCAAGACGGATACGCGCATCTCATGGATACTTGAACTGCAACGTCTGCGTCAGGAGTTGCGGGACTGCTTCAGAGCCAGCCAAGCCATTTGGCCCTGTTTTCGGGCGCGCAGCTTGCGCAGCTTTGAGAAGATTATGCGAGCCCGGGAGATACCGCTCTACGAGGGTGTACGCCTCATAGCAGCCGCCAATGACAGCAGTATACAGGCCAGAATCCAAATGAGTGAGGAACGTAAGGATCTCAAGCATCTAACCTGGTTCGATCAGCTAGCTGTTAGCCTGGCTAAGGGGCTGACAACCCACACTCTGCAGATCAACTTGGCGCAAGTTACTGAGCGCTATTTGAATAGCCTGGACAGGGGAGGTAGGCTTGACTGTGTTCTCTCAAGGTCCACTAGATGATATTATATTTTTGTCAACCGCGCCTTCTAGCTGCTGCCGATCCTGTGGGCAGTGCGCGAGTTCGTCGTCATCGCTATAATATGATCATCACCATGATGTTTGGCGTCACCGCACTAGGTGCTGTGCTCGTGCCCATGGGCTTCCAAATGCTATCCATTGTGAGCGGCAAGGCGCTGCTGCTGGCCAAGATGGCGCTGCTGTTGGCCTCCATCAATGGCCTAAAACGTGTAAGTAAGCAAGTAAGTAACTTAAGAAAGAGAGAAAAACTGCTTAAAGATGGGAACTTCTTTCATATATTGAGCAAGAAAATTAATAGCTGAAGGGCTCAGGGCTTATTAACATATTGAAATCTTTTTTGAGAAAGCAGCAATTTATTTTACAACCGCAAGTTATTTCACAAATCGTACTTGAAATGAGAAAAAAGAACAATTTTCATTTGGCAAATAAAACGATTTTATTGCCTTTTAATAGCTGAACAATACGTATTTAAAAGGGTTCAGAGCTTATATAAAAATAGATAAAAATGTAAGTGCAAATAGTTAAATATTTAGCCTCTTATTTTGAGAATATATTTACATAAGAATATAAACCCTCTAACTTTAAATGTGTCTTGGAAAAAGTTTCAAATCGAATTCGGAAACTAAATTGAAGCACCAAATTAATACTTTGATTATTTAACAAGCAACACATTTTCTTGCTAAATTATCAACAAACTCTAAGTATTTATATTTTTATAAAATTCGCAGTGATTATCGGTTTTTAGTTTTCTGTCACTATTTAGACCACAGCTTATAATTTAAATCTGCTATTTATATTGAAAATAATGAATAGCTCAGTCGATCAGTTCTATCTCTGTATGTAAAACAAATATATCTGAATTAAAACTATCTTCAAATCCTCGTAATCATAACGTTACATAATAAATCAGATATTGGTTCTTCAAAAGCTATAAAAAGCGTAGAAGAGGAATATGTTTTTAATAATAAAAATAGTTATAATAAATAAAAACTAAAACTGGCTTAGGTAAATAATATTAATCCATCATACAGCCTCATAAAGCTTCGATGTAATACTTTGTAGATTTGATATTAGATGCTAATTTGTCAGGGAGGGATAATTTATACAATTGATAATTTATATTATGAAATTCTGCAAGTTTTCTAAGGTAGTAATAAATAATTAACTAAGCCAAATAATTTTTCGTTATGGAAGCAAAGTGATACTGTAACTTAATTATACTTAGAAAAGTGTTTAAATACGTTTGTTCTTTAGTACTTCTTAACTAACCCTTTAACCTACATAAACACAAGAATAATTTGTATAATCTCTTAAAAACAAATATATTTTCTTTTTTCCTGAACCTACAAAAATAATTACTTAATGATACTAAAGAATCAGTTGCATAATGACAGCTTTGTCTTTTGTATTAGTGTAACAAAATTTATTTCTGTTTTCTCAGGTGGCCAATAGCGGGCTGCATTATGGCCTATATCATGTGCCTGGTGATCATTATGGCGGGTATTATGATCGCGGCGATTTGAATCATCCACGTAATGTGCCTTTACCCGTTGCCATGGCGCCAACACTGGAAATGGGAATGAAGTGAAGCTCTAAGCCCCTAAAATAAGGAATTCTAGCTGAAACAATAAAATAAATTATGATTTCCGTTATCTTGCAAGCGTTTTTATTATTATTTTTAAATTTCAAAAGCTGTGTAATGCTTTTCTTTGCACATTAATGCTGGCAACACTGGGCAGCAACAAACTTTCAAAAGCTTTTTGGTGAAAAGCTCAAAGAGTGTTGGGCGCGACAGTTGAAAGCAGCTAAAAGCGTGGTGGAAAACTAAAACGTATAAATTGTATAGCATGAGCTGAAATATATTTATAATGAACTAAGAACTATGAAATATTATTGAAAATTCAATTATTATATTATTCAACATCCAAGATCCCATAGCAGTAGTTTAGTTCTGCAGACCTGAACCATCCCCCTCTGAAATATTTTGCACACTGTATAAAAGGGCTGCTTGACGACGGGGGCGAGGACGAGGACAAAGACGAAGGCGACAACAACGACGACGTCGATGTCGACGCAGGCGACAGGACGCCGAGGACTATAAAAGGAAATGCGCCACTGATAAGGGCCAACATTCTGTCGTCGTCGTCGGCAGAGTTGACGTCTCGTGGCCAATAAGCGGAAATCGCGCGCTGCACACGATTTTGCCTTTTAGATTCAGAATTTGTAACGGTTTCCAGTGGCCATTCAAACAGTCGGCTTAGTAGAGGGACGTGTCGCAAGGATTTACGTGCCAAGTGTTGCGCCTTTTGCGTGCTGCTGCCACTCCTGCTGCTGACATCAATTATTATTACTTGAAAAATCAGATTAGAGAGGCCCGCTGGGGACATTGGCCAGCCTTCAAGTGACTTAAAAATAGGCCTGGACTTAGAGCTCATTTACCTGATTGCGAATTTTGTGAATTTTGACGGCAACGGTCGGTAGTCGGCAGTTCGTGCATCGCTAATTGAAAGAATCAACACCTAGAGTCCGAAACGAATCCTTTGTGCAACCGCCGGCATGAAGCTTGTCGTTTATCTCTACTTATCCATGGTTGTGCTGGGAGTGCAGGTGAGTGGAGGGCAGTTGTTAATTCCGCTGGAACCAGAACCCGAACCCAAACCGGACCGTACATGACTTGCGTTTGTAATTCGATCAACAAGTTGGGTGAACTTTTTGTGTCTTTCTAATTTATGATTTAATGGCTTGATTTAATTTCATCCTTTTGCGGTGACTCGTGGGCGTTAGCCAACAACGATTGATGATGTCCTTTTTTGGTTGTTGTTGTGCGCATTTATTGGCAAAGTTTTGAAACCTTTGACTTCTTCTTTCATCGGAAAAAAAACTTTCATTAGGGTCATGTTACACACACACATGTGAGCAATGTGTAGTGTGTGTTTGTCGAACCAATTTATTTGTTTTTGAACCGCACACATTCATTATTTTGATTATTTTGACTATTTTTGGTAGCAATCGGCTGGCGGCTATATTTGAAACCAACTTCAGCCACATGCTAAGCATACACATATGTAAGTTAATACTATATAGTAGAATATGCAGCGTAAAGTTGGTCCCCTCATACCTCCGCAAATTCCCATTCCATTTGGCCGCCGGGGGCAGTAGCAGGACTATAATCATATTTACTAAGACATGCCTCTTCGCAATCCGCAAATGTCAAAAGTTTTATGGTCGTTATGGTGTGTTGCTTAGTTCTACACAAAACAATGATAAGGCCGTCGCACCAAAACAACTACAAAAAATAGGGTAATGTCCTAAGGTCATTAAGGCAATGTTTTTATTACATACAGAAGTATTTGTTTGGGAGTTAGCGCAGTAATTATATTTGAAGCCCAAATTCAATTGAAAATAATCATAAATAAATCATATGTATTAAAGTAAAGTACCAATAATTGTATTTATCCATTTTTTTTTATATTTATATTTCGAAAGCTTTTACTTGCAATATATCTCAGAACTTATTGTGTTTTGCATTCTACTTTATATTATTTATTATTTATTTATCTGTTCAATACTATACTTAATTTTTAGAATAGTTTAAAGTTAAATATTTGCAGATGATAATTTCAGAGCCCTTAAATCCGATGCATTAATATTCATATTTATATTCTCTAAGACACAACAGCTGTAAAATAAATCTCTAAAAAATGCAAGCCATGAAATAATTTGATTGTAAAAAAAAAAACATTTTGTAATTTGAATGATCCTTACTGTTTCATTATTTTAATATTCTAATTTATGTATGTTTTCTTTGACTTAAGCAATATAAATAATTAAATTATTTTTATATGATTGTTTGTTTTATTGTTTAAATTATTTAAGGAGATTGTACATTCCGTTTTAAAAATGTGATTTTTAATTCTATAATTTAATATTAAATATTGCAACAATAATGCAATTATCATTTCGTATCTCTCTCTAATCTCTCTAATCGCTATACTGACTTCTTTAGTGATAGAAAATATTTTAACAATGTATGGCATTTGAAAAAAGAATAACTAAAGACTAAATTAATTTTTAAACTATTACACATTTTTGTAACGCTTTCATTTGTATGCTTCTTTTAAACTTTTTCTGAAAACGTTGCAAAATTGGAGTATTTACTGCTTTTTCTAATCGAATTGGAGAGTATTGCTTTATGGAGAATTATGTTATGTCAGCTCCTTATTCGTCTTGATTTCTCAATTGTTTGTGTCTGCTTAATTTCATTCATCAACTTTGGTTGCGACTGGTATTTATTTAATTTATTTAATTTTTAAATTTTTTTATTAAATAATTTTTATGATTATTTACTACAAGTCAGCATTTTAGGCACTATCCTGATAAGTCGATGTATGGATTAATGGTAAATAAAATATGAAAAATGAATAAAATATGAAGCAGCAAATAGGGCACACATTTTTTCTTAACGGACATAAAAATGAAGCTTGAGCAACACACTTGGTGCCTAAAAGTGGCCCGATTCCCGTTAGGGATTCATAAATAAACTCAAAAACGGCAAAGAATCACTAAAAGGTGTTGAATTACAAATGCCATTTAAGCTGCCAAGTGCAGCCTTTGTGGGGAGCAGTGGCAACAAAGCTAAGTCAACTCAATGGCCAAGGATAAATGTAAATTGTTTTGCTGCAATTTGCAGAATTTAAGAGCCATTACGCTTACTTGCCTGCAGTGCAACCATATTTGTGTATGTGTGTATGTGTATCTGTGTGAGTCTGAAGTGAGAAAAATCAACAAGCCCCGGCAAGGAATAACAAGCAGCTATGTGGGCTGTGGCTCTGGGGTGCGAATGACAAGCATTTATTGTGGTACTCGCCAACGCCATCGTCATCGTCACCGTCAGGACCCTCAACCGAGAAGCAGCCAATATCATTGTTATTGTAATTGTGGCCAAAGCTAAAGCTGGCCACTCACTCAGCTAGTGAGTCAGTCAGTCTGCCAGTTTGTCAGTTGGACCGGAGAGTCTTGTATGCCATTGTTGGGAAACTACTTGTTGGGGAGCTTCTTGTTGGGGCGCTTCTGTTGTTGTGTTGCCGTCACGCCCACCAAAGTGCAGCTTGCAACTTGATGCGCATTTAATGCTGCATGTTAACATCCACACTCTTCTCCCAAAAGGGGCAGAGCCCGAGCAAAAGTTTGAACATTTAGCTGTCACTGCCAACGCCAACAGTTATCCTTCTTTCCTGCAGACAGGACACACATGCTTATATTGACAATTAAGACATGTAAGTCGAAACAGACAGCATCAGCATCTAAAACTGTCCTAATTGGCAAACAGCCATTCGAGTTGAGCTCTAAACTCAACTGCTGGCAATTAACACCTGCAAACAACTAAAAAGTTGACAGTCCCGCATCAGCAACACACCTTGTTTAATGTCACCCACACGGGTAGAAAAGGGTGTTCTAAAATTCAAATGAAATTAACAGTGAGTGTTGGCAAAAAATCTTTCGAATGATTTCAGAAATCCTAAGTCAAATCTTTCAACATACAAAGAATTGATGATTGATTGATATTAAACCACAAAATTAAATGAATGGCTATTTAAATTAAATGGTATTAAAAGAACATCTGACGTGTATGCTTCTGACGTTTAAAAGGTCGTCTGTTTTGGCACAAAATAATTGAAACTGTATCATTTCCTAAAAAACAGAATTCCTTAGATTCATAGAAACTCCAAGAATAAATAATATCAGCACCTCTCCTCGTTTATTTTTATCATAATTCCTCTTTATTTTTATTGCTACAAGGAGTGTTCCAAAGTAAACAGGACTTATTGAATCTAGCGCCCCCTGGTTGCGCCATCTATATGTCGACTGGCGCGTTAGAATCTGCTATCTTTATCGATTGTCCAGTGAGAATTTCATGACATTTCATCAATTGGAAGTCAAGTTATTGCATTTTAAGTGTCAGTATGTTTGTGTTATCGATGCGAAAATGAGCTTCGAACAAAGACCCAACATTAAATTTTGTTTTAAAATTGGTAAAACTTTTACCGAAACGTTTCAATTGATGGAACAAGTTTATGGCAGTGATTGCCTATCCCGTAGCAGAGTACACGAGTAATTTCAACGTTTTCAAAGTGGTCGTGAGGACATAAATGACGATCAACATGTGGGCTAATCAAAACTCGTGATCACCGAAAATTCCATCGAAACTGTGCGTGAATTCATCAAAAATCAGCCGAAATCATCATTGAAATTGATGGAAATGGAATTGAACATCTCCAAAACACCGATTTATTGCATTTTGACCGAACATTTCGGCTTACGAAAGGTGTGTGCACGGTTTGTTCCGCACAAATTGACTGACGACCAAAAATTGCTCTCATCGATCGACGCTTGTGACCGATTATTTGACCAAAAATCACATTTTAACCATTAACCACTCGCCGTATTCACCTGATATGGCTCCGTGCGACTTCTACCTTTTCGGAAAAACGCATTCGCCCATGGAAGGAAAGCGTTATGCAGACGTAGGCATACTGGCGGCCATACCGGCCAACGAGCTAAAACACTCGTTCAACATGCTTTTGGAACGTGCAAAAAGCTGTATTTAAGCAGTAGGAGACTATTTTGAATAAAATAAATTGATTTTGCCGAAAAACCATTTGTTCTGTTTTTTTTTTTTAAAGTCCTGTTTACTTTGAAACCCACCTTGTACTTCTTCGTCTTTATTTCTTATTTGTTAGGTCAAATAAAGCCCTTGGCTACCGTCTGGTGCGAATCGAGGCATAGCTGGCGTTTGGCAAATAAATAAATAAATTCGCCCACCGATTCAGATTCGTTATTAGATATTTCTGTAATTTCTATAGCATTTTTTATTCTTTAGTTTTATTTATTTTAATATTTATTTTATCGATTTTTTTTCATTTTTAACCGACTTCAAACAAGGATGAGGTTATCAATTCGTGTGTATTTTTTACATTTTCATCTTTAAATAAATAAAAATAAAATTTCGATGATGATTTTGTTCTAATTATTATGCACGTATCACGTTTGGGTTCGACAGTTTAACTCCCCATTTCGGTGATGAGATTTAGAATTTTAATAAATAAAATTAATTTTAAAAAAATGTTTTTTTTTTTGATACACCCCTCTTATGCTCAAATATATGTTGTTCATTTCTCTTACTTTTTTTTTAGTTTATTTACGACACAAAAACTAATGACACTTTAGGTCCAAATACCTGTATAATATTTCAACTCGTGGACACTTGTATAGATGATGTGCATCAGGCAGAGATCGCAAACTTTTAATTGACACCAATTTGTCAGCTGTGCCAAGGAATCTTTCCCACATACTGCAAGACATCAGCAGCCAATAAGGCTTGAAAGGCCTTCACAACAACAACAACAAAATAGGAAGGAAAAGCATGGAAGGGAAATTGTGTAACACATTGTAGCTGGCAAGGCGGTCGCATAAATTTGAAAGGCAAATGTGTACTAAGAGAACCAAATTGCGTTTCTGAATTATGTTATATATGACACACACACACACATACAGATATAGACAAACTCACATACACCGACACACATAAGGGTCGCATAAAATCCATT